ATGATCTAAACGATCAATAGCTCGACTATTCTATCAAAAAAGTACCTGAACTTGGTCTATAAAATAAAAGTATTTATAATGCATTCCATTTTTTCTATAGCCTTCAAAGTGGGCCCCTTCCGAAATATAAATACCCTTGGCCAGTGAATAATCCAATCGTCAACTTTAAGTTTTAAATTTAAGTTTTAATTTATTTAAAAACGAGTTCCCCGAAGTGGTAATTTTTAGTTAAGGAAAGGGGGTGAAAGGTCGGAAAAGAGTCATACACCCGATATGAGAGCGGTTTTTTAACTTTATTGCATTTTTAGCCAGATATTCGGTCCCTATGAAAGCCTTGTGAAATTGTGTTTCCGCTTCGTGGTATAATTTCAATGAATTTCTCATATCTGAATAACGGATAATATTTTTCTAAGTTAGCTCAGTTGGAAGACCCATACCGAACCTTGTTGACTTGTTTCTACATTAAACTCCGGTTACTTTTTTGACCGAATCTACTATTTTTTCGACTTTAATTAAACTTTGTTGAAACCTTGAAACAGTTTACAAATATTCTTTAATTATTGAATGGAACTATTAAATCGTTAATGGAGAGTAGATTATAAAGCGTAGTCATTAAATTTGATTTTCATACTGAGTGAGATATGTATGTGCGTGCATGTGTATGTAGCGAGCACATAAATATAGATTTATGCATGTAGATTTGCAATAAAATTAACGCTTTCCCATCCAGCATCGTTTTTGATTTTCTCTTATTTTTACTACACATAATTTATTATGTGTGACTTTTCCAAATGCACATACATACATACTCATACGTATTTTATTACATAAGCTCGACAATTTTCCGAATAAACACAAAATACATTGTATGAGTAGTAGTTGCTATATATGTTCATATTTTATGGGCGCTATAAAACCAATTGCACATATGTACATACATACATACATAGATTTAAAAACAGTGTGTACCAAAAATAACCGAACTGTATATATAAATCATACAACATACAGCGCCATCTATTGAAAATTTACAACATTAAAGCGATACCTCTTTCAAACGCAGCTAACTTCATGTAAATCGGTTGACAGATGTAAAAGTGACAACCATTTAAATAAAACCAAAAGTGTGCTAATTGTTCAAAAATAAAATGGAACAAAGAGCAAATATAAAATTTTGTGTCAAACTTGAAAAAAAAAGTTAATGAAAAAAGTTTATTATGATGATTGTATGAGTCGTACGCAAGTTCATACGTGGTTTACACGATTTAAAAATGGTCGTGAGGATTTAAATAACGACCCTAGAGCAGAACGTCCAGAAACTATTAATCTTGCTGAACTGGTCGGAAAAGTCCGTGAAATCATTGGTATCGAGGCAAATTTTACTACGAGAATGTTGGCTGAGGAATTGAATACGAGTAAAAACATTATTTGGAGAATTTTAACTGAAGATTTGGGGAAAAGAAAGGTCTGTGCGCGATTTGTTCCACATGAATTAAATGACGACCAAAAAATCGCTCGAATTTTTAATGAAAAAAGGGCTTGCTCTCATCGACCATCCGCCGTATTCGCCTGATCTATCACCATGTGACTATTTTTTATTTCCAAAACTGAAAACCAAGTTGAAGGGAGCATTTTATGATGATATCCCAGCCATTCAAGCAGCCGTNTTTTTTTTTTTTTTTTTTTTTTTTTTTTTTTTTTTTTTTTTTTTATAAATTAATCAATTAACAAATAAGAAGAAGTGGAAAATTCAATTAATAGTGTACCAGCCACCTTAATGGAGTATATTAAAAAGAATTATTATTGATATTTTAATGATAAAGTCAAGGTATATAAAAATAAATAAATTAATATAAAATAAATAAATAAATATAAAATAAATAAATAAATATAAATACTACTTACATAGTACAGTATGTATGTACATACATATATACATTTGTGTTAATATCAAATTGTGACTAATTTTCTCAATCACTCTAGCGAAAATCCATTTAGCTACAGTGCCAGTATGGAGTGAAAGTCTGTAACTATTTATATTGCTTGTAAAATATATATATATATATATATATATGCATTTAAAATACATTTTATATAAGAAATATATGCATATATACATACACATGAATTTTCAATGAATCTTATTAAATTTCTTCTTATTTTTTTTTGTGCTACAAGCTCTAGGCGCACGCCCAGCAGACAGTCTGTCTGCGAGCACGCTTCGCTCTCGTTGCCTCCACCCACGTCTCGCAAAACTTGTTTGCACAATTTTGAAATTAAAAAATATTGGGCGTGCATAACTGTACTGTATAAACATATAAATATACAACCACACACAAAGCAATAGTTTTTTTTTTTGTTATTATTTTTTCCATTAATTCTCATTATTTATAGGGAAAGAAAAGTACTGTGGACCAAATAAAAATGATTAATTCAACCAATATTAGTACTTGCACTTACTAACATGCGTAGAGTCGTGGTTCGAAAAAACATTATTTTTATAATTGTGCTCACCCCTCCTCAGTGAATGTCAGCTCCTGCAAGTGTATTTCTAACATAAAATAATAATCTCCTCAAAAATCTATCATCCCCGTGGAGGCGGTTGTGAAAACATCAAGACACGCACCACAAATGAGAGTAAAACGGCTCGACCGAAACTCCTTTCAGCGGTAATAATGCGCCAGTTGGGGCAGACATTCCAATTGTATATCATGAATAATAGAGATGACACTTAAAATCGCAGCTGATTGGGCTAACAGAGTTCTCATACTTGTAAGCCCAGAAAAATCTATATAGGAAAGGAAAAAGCCCTTCAATTCAAGCTACCCTCCAACTCGGCCGGTATATCGGTGTAATCGGTGTAAGCATAAAAGGGTTAGCTGAGGAGCATATATTGAAAAGAAGGTCCGAAAAACGCTCAGAATTGAAATACAACCCAAAAAAAAACTATCACGCACAAAGTGCGACCCTAAATATTGTATAAGGAGATCGTAAGATCGTAAGATATTATCTAAAGACTAGTACCGAAAAGTACAACGTACCTGTCCACTTGATTTAGGAGGAGCGATAAAGATTACCTCAACAAGAGTCCTGAAATTCATCCTTGACATGGTCGCATACAGATCATTGTAACAGAACTCGAGCTGAGTGTATAATGCAAACGAGTAAAGTAGTCTTAGCTACATGCTCCCTCTCGAACAGTGAAATCTGGGTGGAAGGCAAGACTTATAAGTAATTGTGAAGATAATATATTTATAGCTATACTAATGGTTCTAAGGTAGTGTGCTTCTGTGAACTCCTCAATAAAGTCAAGTCTGTATAGATAAGAGTTGAGTCTTTTACAGTATCCAAACCTTAATTGTGTTCAAATTAGTCGGGTCTCGCAAGGCAGCTCGGGCTCTTCGACTGCTATGGATGCTAGTTGGATGCCTGACATGCCGTTCACGAAGAGGTAGCTTAAAAAAGCTAATTTGTCCAGTGGCTCTATTATGTGGTAATATATAGTTCCTCTAGAACCTCTCCAACAAAAAAAATAGCTTCAAACTCAATTTCCTCCAAACAGAGATCGTGTTCATAACTGTAGGTGTCAAATGGAAAACTTATTTTTAAGGGATTCTCGCTGAAAATAGAGCCACAATTAAACTCCAAATGTGTGAGAAAATGTAAGAATGCAATTAATAGAGGATCAAGTAAGAACACAGCGATCAGCGTTTAGGTCCCAGCGCTTATTGATGTACAAAAGTAACGAAAAGGCGAACGAACTGGTTCGCACTGAGTCCGGAGATCAAGCCAACTGGAACAGATCTTTCAGCACCTTCGCGTTTTGTATAAGCTAAAAAGGCAAACTTAGGGTACTAGAGGATTTGCAACGTATGACACAGCGCTAAACTACTGTGGGACAGCGTAGATTATGGACAGATCAAACTGTTACTAGCAATAAGCAAAAGAGTACATAGGTATCCCGTGAGATGTCAATTTGAAAGACTGAATGCGGGTTGAATCAGCTGTGTGCAGAGCATGCACAGAAGAGAACGAAACCCTGCAGCACTGCCTGATTGAGGAGTCATGTCTTCCACCAAGTTACAGCAAGGATGGGTGCGAATGGTTGTATAACATCTAGTTGGGTTACGCCGGGAGCACAATGAGCCTACTCAAAGGCTTACAATAGGGCACCCGGGCTCAAACCCGAACTCCTTAAAAAAAATTAATAAGCTTTATCGAAAGAAAATGCAACAAAATTACAAATACTCATACTCTTATATAGGATCAGTGCATAAGTTCGTGCCCGATTTCAAGTGCAAACTAAAATTGAAATTTTTTGAAGAAAGCGCTTTTATTAATCGATTATGTATTCGCCATCATGTTCGGCAATCCACTCCCAACGTTCAACCAATTTACGGATGCCTGATTCATTGAAATCGCGCGGTTTCTCGTGGAAAAAGGTATCAAGGTGGTTTTTGACGTCTTCCATATTTTTAAATTTTTTTCCATTCAAATTGTTCTGCAGCGATCGAAACAAATGATAATCAGAAGGTGCAATGTCGGGTGAATATGGGGGATGCAGCATGATTTCCCAAATCATCTCCTTCAGTTTGGCCAGGGTCGGTTTTACAACATGTGGCCTGGCGTTGTCATGATGGAAAAGAACTCCTTTGCGATTGGCCAAAATCGGACGTTTTTCATCAATATAAGTACATATACTCGTACATATGTACTCGTGTACCACCGATATTTTAACAATTAACACAGATTCTTAAAACACAAGAAAATTACGTACAACAATTTACGCAAATTATGCCGGTTTTGCACACACATACATACATATATAACAAATAATTATTATTAATTTTAAAAACCAGTTTCTTATTGTTTATAATAACAGTAAATCAAGCTGTTAGTCAAACTTGTTCGTTCCTTTTTTTTATTTTTTTTTTATGTAATACTTTTTTCTGCATTCTCTATTTATTCTATTTTTCATTACCTCTTTTTCTCTTTTTTAGAATGGAAGTTCAAACGGTGAATAATCACCTAAACAATTCCCTCATATCACCGCCAGCCTTGTCACAATCACAGCAAGCCCAATTGAATAACAGCATTATCACACTCAGTCGCAGTAACAGTCCGGCCAGTTCGAATTCGGAAATTGAAAAAGAATTACAAGATTTAGATTTAAATAGTTCACTGAACAGCGGCAGTGTTAGCTTGGGTGCCGAACTAAATAATTGCAAATCGAATGGTTCATTAAGTGGCGCCTCCACCACAAGTTCCACCACAGGTCTCACAACATCAGTCACTACAGCGGCAGCAGCAGCAGCAGCTGCATGTGTAACAATAAAAACAACATCTTCTTCTACTGAAGCCCTAATAAATGGCAATGGTGCTGATGCGGCTACAACAAATGCTGTTAATAACTCATCGTCAGCAGCTGCAGCAGCAGCAGTGGCACAGGTGAAGAAGCGCATATCCAGCAGCCGTACACCGACACGCAAAGCGAGGCGAATAAAATTCTATCGCAATGGCGATCGTTTCTATCCGGGTATTACCATTCCAGTCTCAAATGAACGTTATAGGTGAGTTGAAATTGGCATTTTTATCAGACATAAATATATATTTATTAATATGTGTGTTGATAAAAGGAAGCAATCGTTCGGCACCTGCCAATAATGTCGGTTTTCAAGGATTTCAGAGTTTATTCTATCGCATTTTATTTAATTTTATTTTATTATTATTACTATTATTATTATTATATTATATTATTAATAATTGTTATTATTATTATTATTATTATTATTATTATTATTATTATTATTATTATTATTATTATTATTATTATTATTATTATTATTGTTATTATTATTATTATTATTATTATTATTGTTATTGTTTTTGTTATTATAATTATTATTATTATTATTATTATAATTATCCGCTGTTCGAACGTAGACGAGATCCGAGAGGTGCAGGAAGTGAGCGGTTTCGCAGGGTTCGACAGCGTGGTGTTAGAAGAGTGGGTTTTAGTCGAGATGTAGAGAGTATATTATTATGGTAAGCGGCACTCATTGCATGGTATACATACTTACATACGTTAAATATGTCCCGATCGAGTCGAATAAGTCGGAGATTACCTACTACAGTGTCGATACCTTAATTATGCTATCATTACTTGCCAATCACTCCATCGGCTATTCGTAGGGGGTCTTAAAATAAGGTGTAGACCCAAAAAGGATCAGGTTGTCTATGTCATCGAGATTATCAAACGAGATTTCCAGGAGCTGTTGCGACGGGTTCGGTTCAGAGACAGTGTGGGGTTAGAAGAGTGGGTTTTAACGGGAGTGTAGAGAGGGTTACAAGACATTAAGTACCCCAAGGAGGCGGTTAGTAGAAGTTCAGTCTATTACAATATCGAGACTTTAATTATGTCCATATTGGATCTCACGAAAGCAGCTTGATTTCCTCTTGGTTATAAACCAAGCATGCCGTTCCCGGGAAGAGAGTTTACAAAGTTTTTGGTTTCGTTCTGTGGTGCTGCTTGGAGTCCCTTAGGTCGAGTACGCCCTTCCTAATGTGCCTTGGCTTACCTACGGTAGCTTGTTTGTAGCTTGCAGTCCGCGACTTTCACATGCAATGCGAGCCCGTACTTTTCGTTCAGCTAGTGAAGACAGTTGCCGAGGATTTCACAGCTCAATATCGAGCCGTCATCAGTAGATGAGATCAGGGATACGCTTTTTATAGAGGGAAGGGAGGATCTTCAATATATAAAAATTAAACAATAGCGGTTAGAGGACACCCCTCTGCGAATCGCTTTCTTAGCATTTGAATTTTCACCAATGATTATACAAATAATTGTTGATCCACCTCTTCAAACCCTTTAAATGCATGGGTGATTGATCGTGTCATTTTCCAAAATCCAGTGCTGCCAGTACAGTTCATGCGCAGAGTCGATCGGATTTAATCTAGATTTTATACAGCCAAAGGCTATCACTTCTATTCCGTTTAAGTCAACGAGTAAATTCCCTGAAGATCATTACCTGGAGTCTTATTTGTTACCCGCGTGCAAAGCGGGACATCGATGTCTAGGTCTCGTTAGTAGTGTCACGCAACTTGATACACTTAATACTTACAGGGTAGCTTTCTTATTTGGACGCAACTTTGTTCCAAGGTTTTCAAGGGAATGAGTTCGATTCTAAGGAAGTTTCCATTAAAAAAATTCTACAACAAGTCTCCAAAATTTGCCAAAACTTAATTTTAGTTTAGTTACGGTATAACAAAACCAGTTATGAAAAAATAATTTTTCATACTATAATTAATAAAATAAATATAATTTCTTTCTACAGATCATTTGAGAGCCTTTTCGAAGACTTAACACGTTTACTAGAGGATAATGTGAAAATTCCAGGGGCTGTGCGTACCATCTATACAATGTGTGGCAAGAAGGTGAGTTTAATTTATAGACACTGCTCTTCTTCTTCTTCTTACCATCTCTCTTTGCGCATTAGATCTCAACTTTGGACGAACTCGAAGATGGCCAAAGTTACGTTTGTTCCTGTAATAATGAGAATTTCAAGAAAATCGAATACAACACCTCCTCACAGCCATTGGCCAATTTGACACTCTCCAATAAGACAAACAATCGTCTGTCAAAAACTTATCGTCCATCGTCACCTCTTAAGAATGGCACAACCACATATAATAGTGGTGCCGGTGGTGGCGTAGCTGGTGGTGGTGTTGCCGGTAATGGTACAAATGTCACAACTGGAGCCACTAACGGTAGTCCAGTGCTAAAGTTGAGTGAACGCGACAGCGTTGTACATCCCCGTATTGTAACGCTGATAAGAAACGGTACCAAACCACGTAATGTAAGTCGATGATAAGTAGATGTGTGTGAATTTTCTGATAACATTTTTGTTTTAACAGATTATGCGCCTACTGCTAAATAAACGCAACAGCCCGAGCTTCGATCATGTACTAACTGCAATTACCCAAGTTGTACGCCTCGATACGGGCTATGTACGTAAAGTGTTTACACTCTCCGGCAGTCCGGTTGTGCAACTTGCCGATTTCTTCGGTCCCGATGATATATTCTTCGCTTATGGCACCGAACGTGTTAACAATCCAGACGATTTTAAACTTGAACCTGATGAACACAAAGCCATACAGGCCATACGAAAATCACTGCGCACAGCCGGCACCACTTATAAGGGTCCCAAACCGAAAATGCCTGTGAAGAGTAAAAATTTGAATAGCGCTAAGCATCAGCAAAATCATAAACAAGAACCATGTGATCAGATTGTTGACGAAGATTTGGCCGCGTTGAATGAAAGCGGTATTGATACAAGCGAACTGCCAAGCGTCATACGTGAGCGTTACGCATTGGGACAGATTATAGGTGATGGCAATTTTGCTGTTGTGCTGAAGATCAAAGATCGTCAGAATGGCGTACCGTATGCGTTGAAAATCATCGATAAAAGTAAATGCAAAGGCAAAGAGCATTACATCGATGCAGAAGTGCGTGTAATGAAGAAATTACAACATCCACACATAATTTCATTAGTCATGGATGTTGATCAGCAAGCGAATATGTACTTGGTGCTGGAGTACGTGAGTGGTTAGTATCATCAATGATTGTGTTGTTTTTGTTGTTGTTTTTTTTTTTTCAATTAGTTTTTCGAACCTTTTTTTATTTTATTGCAACATAGGTGGTGATCTTTTTGATGCCATAACACGAGTAACACGCTTCTCGGAGAATCAATCGCGTGTTATGATTAAGCATTTGGCCTCAGCCATGGCCTATTTACATTCCATGAGCATTGTGCATCGCGACATTAAACCCGAAAATCTATTGGTAAGCTTGTGTCTTTTTGTAAAACATCAGCATTAGGTATTTCTTAATAATTTGCTTTCTTTATTGCATTAGGTCGAACTGGACGCCAATGGCTATGTAACTGAGCTTAAATTAGCTGATTTTGGTTTAGCTTGTGAGGTGACTGAACCATTATATGCCGTTTGTGGCACGCCTACATATGTTGCACCGGAAATACTAATGGAGACAGGCTACGGTTTAAAGGTAATTTCTATAAAAGCAAACAAAAATATATACCAAACTTTATAAAATATGGAGACCACCCTCTAGCAATACACAGTGTGTGGTTTTCAACGGTAGAGTGGTATCGCTACTAAAACCGGGGAAACTAGCCAACAAAGGGTAATCATATCGGCAAATAACTCATAATGGATCATGCTGACCAAAGCTCATCTGTAGAATTTCGTGGTTAAAACTCACCTAATGGAGATTGTCCCTAAACGGTCGTCCACACCGGTTTGGACACGGAGACTAAGGAAATTCACTGACTCTGTAAAAGATAATAATGCACCCTAAACGCCGTTCATAGACGATCTCTGTCAACACCTTTATAAACTTTCCTACCGCGAATGGCATAGGCGGAATCCAACCATCACTTTTAGCAGACAAAAAGCTCGATATTTTTCCCCAAGACCCGCTTTATGCTGGTTCTATAAAGTCCGTATATCATAGTAGACTCAATTACTAACTCTACATACTTAACGTATGCCTTGCACGCAATGAGACCACTTCTTTCGATGTCCATTAAAACCCATTCTTCGGACAACCCTCTCCCTCTGGTCTGACCTCATCGAAACAACTCGTTAACAGTTAAATAATATAACTATGGATGGAGCAAGACGCTGTCATTACAACAACAACAGCAGCATCTTCTAAGAATAAGTCCCTCCTGCGGTTTAGGGACTCACGAATTTACCCGTGTTAAGACATGCCTGTCGTAAGAGGCGGCTAAAATCTAATAGCTCCCGCGACATTCGGATCTTTATACTGGAACGAGCCAGATATTTTTCTGGCCAAGGTTTTGGTATTTAATGAAAGGAAAAATACTAGAATTACCTGTTGGCCTAAAGAGGGATATGACGAAATCGTAAAAGCGGCTGTCATGATTCAAGATTGATTTAAGATCTGGATATTGTAGCTGGCTTAACTCCTGCATAACCAGACTTGAGTCCCTAAAGCCTGTTCATCTAACCCTCGCCATTCACTTCTACCAAATATTACTGCTAAAATAATTTGTGATAATATTTTTGGATTTGCATGAAAATTTATTAATAATATGTACGTATGTGTAATAATAACAATATAATTTTTTTTACAGATCGATGTCTGGGCAGCTGGTATTATCCTCTACATACTGCTTTGCGGATTTCCACCATTCGTTTCGCCCGACAATCAACAAGAGCCACTATTTGATGCCATTATATCTGGAGTTTACGAATTTCCCGAACCGTATTGGTGCGATATTGGCGATGGTGTACGCGATCTTATTGCTAACATGCTGCAATCGGACCCCGAAGTACGTTTTACCAGCGAAGATATACTAGATCACTACTGGACACTGGGTGAATGTAATGAGTATAGTAGTTGAATTTCCTGCCATAATGCGGTAGAGGATGCGAATGGGATTCATAGGCGAAGGCAACAGAAACAAAAACAAGCATGTCATGAATGCATCATTTTAGGCTATAGCTAGATATAAGTAGTAGCTGCTTGTTGATTTGCCGACCTAAACACAATTACACACATACATGCATACATTATAGACTTAGTATTTTGTGGGGGTCGTAATATTCGTAATTTGTATTTGATTACTTTTAAAAAAAAAATTTATAATTTACGAAAAAAAAAAAATTATTTATATGCGATGGGAAATTTTTAAAATGCCACTATGCAGAACGCTGAGAAGAAAAATATGTTGAAAACAAAAACAAAGCGCTGCAAAAATATTTGTGTGGTCAAAATTAAAGTCGGCGCACTTAACTAGAAACATGCATTATATATATGTAAAAAACATAAGCTCACATACATATAATCACGAACTTGCACATATGTATATGTATGCTGAAGTTGTCTTTATTATTAAACTATAGTATTTATAATTTATTGCTTAAAAATTTGCGCCACACACTTACGAAAGGTCTGACGAAATCATTCAGTACTTTATAAAAAAAAAAATATTATTATTATGATAAAAAAAGACGCGTTAATATTAAATAAAATCCCAATGAATGCCTGTGAAATAAAGTCAATGATAATTTCACTGAAAATAAACAAATTGTATGTATTCAAACAAAAAAAAAAAACAAAAAAAAGCGAAACGCTAGCAAAAGAGAAAAAACACCAACAATCAAATGCTGATATACTTATTTGTGTATATTTTTTATATATAGCTATTTTATACGTGTATTTTAATCGTTATTTGTTCGTTTCTGCAATGAATTAATATTCACTATTGTTCCAGGCTGATATTTTCCTATACAGAACGATCTATTTTATTTTATCCTATTTGTGTATTATTTTCTATTTAAATATTTACTGTTAGTACACTATTGCGATAAGGAATTAGCTGTATAATATTTTTTATATGTTTTGTTCGTTATACATATGTATTTTCAATTTTTATTCTAAAAGCAAAAATACAAGAAAATATCATGAAATTTCGCTAAAAAATAGTTTTGTAAACATATTTGATGGAAATCAAAAAAAAAAAATTATGAAATAATAATTTAAAAGAAAATTTGTATTATTAAAGAAAAATAAGTGTTTTCCTTCTATGTTATAGAGTTTCTGATAGTAAATCGTTTAAAATTTTTAATTATTGAATTATTTAGAAAACTTAAAACAAATTTATTATTGTGCATATATGTTGGGTTTTAATTATTCAATATACCATATTTGTATTTATGTTTTTTTTTTCTTTTCTGGGGTTTTTAAAACATTATTCAAACTGCCAGCCGCAATTATTGTCAAGACAAAATCATTTATTCCATTTATCTAACATTGCTGGTGGCATGAAACTACATACATACATATGTATGAAAATACATGACCAACCACTACTTTTGGAAAACTAAATTCCACCTTCAAAGCAACACACCACTTTTATAATTTAATAACAAATATTCTTTAAAAATATTTTAGTATTTTTTTGAACGCAAATAGTAGTAAATATATTATATGTTATATTTATTTATTTATTTTTGGTTCTAACTGTTTTAAAACGAAATCTTTGTAATCACATTTTTTAAAACGCTTATTAATAAGCAACAGTAAATAATATTAATATAATCAATCACTACAACCTAGTTTTAGTAGTAACACGCAGAAAAGTTCATTTATTCTTTTGTACATACATACATATGTGTATGAGTGCAAATGCATTTTGTACATGCATACGCTATATACTTAAGTAGTACACACACATTTTCCATTATTTGTATTTCAAAGAAAGTATATTGCAGTAGCAAAGAAATACACACGTATATAAATTAATAACAATTAAAACATTAAAAATGAAAAAAATCACAAACATTATAAATAACAAATAAAATTATTTAATGACAAAAGGCATTATGCATATTTATAAACGTTTATTGTATATTGAAAAATGAAATTTTGCATATACATACATACATACATTAAAATATATAGATATACGAAACAATTGAAAAATATGATGAAGCAAAATTATTAAAAAGTGCTAAAAAAAAACTATTTAAAATCAAAAATAAAGGAAATAGCGAAAACAAAAACATTTAAAATTGTGTTTTATTTTTTAAACAACATTCACTTCGGAATTCACAGCGTTATACCAAACGATTCATCAAATTGACCGTTCAGACTAATTTCCAGCATGAAATTCAATTTCCGTGATCTTTTTTTCCAAAATACGCTCGTATGTTGCCCCCTAAGTGCCACTGTTGCCGATAATATACCAATGTATAGATTCTCGTAAATATACTTCACCGATTTGTATAAAAATATTGCTATTAAAATGCATTCATATTCCTTCCCAGCCGAAATTTGAAGACTTATGCATAAAAACTTGAAGTTGCATACATACCTAGCCCAAAACTTGTGCTGGGTATTACGAAAAAAGGGTCGCAAAAAATCGCTTAAATTAAGCAACACTGCTGCATCAAACAGCTGATCAGCTGTTATGATACATTCACATAAATTTTGTTTTGTTCAAAAAGAAAAGTGGTTTTTATCTCTCATGTATAAAATTTTAGCAGAAAATTCAATAAATGGTGCATTAACAAAAATAATTTAAATTTTTCATAAAATCGTACCGTTTAAAACTAACCAACTAAGTCATGTCCGAACAGGAATCCATTAACAACAGTGTAAGTTGAAAAATTTTAATTTAAAATAAGTATGCTTATAAGTTTATTATTTATATATGCACATTTGTAGGATACCGAAACCGAAAGTACTGAGGATGAAGTGGAACCAAAATTCAAATACCAACGTATTGCCAATGATCTACGGAAGATACTTAACACGGATGTGCTTACATGTAGTGCGGTGCATCCAAAGGTTTGATGGCTGAAATATATATTGATAAGACACAAATTTTCATATGTATGAATTTTCTTTGTTTAGTTTTTAATATTTGGCACATTTCTGGGTCGTATCTACTTGTTCGATCACAAAGGTAATTCGGTTACTTCTCATCTCTCCGATGGACCAAATGATTACTCACATACTGTCGCCGTAAATCACATCGATGTGGATGCTAAGGCAGAATATGTAGCCACCTGCTCCGATGATGGAAGGGTTGTTAAATTTATTTAGTAAAAATTTAATTGTGTTAAAGAATTGACAAATTGTGTATTTAGGTGAATATAACTGGCTTGTTCAGTGATGAAAACAATCAGCATCTAACCTTTGGCAAATCGATAAAAGCTGTGGCATTAGATCCAGATTCCAAAACAGTAGCAGGCAAGCGTTTTATTATAGGTGAGTTTTAATGTACTAAAATTGTAAAGAAAAAATTAATTAAAAAATAAATTTTATTATCAAATAATAGGAGATGACAAACTTACGCTATTCGAAAAGAATTTCTTGAAAAAATTGAAAACAACTGTGCTATCCAGCGCTGAGGGATATGTATTATCTATTTGTTGGAACGGTTCCTTTGTAGCTTGGGCCAGTTATTTGGGTGTACGGGTCTATGATCTAAATGAAAAGTGTTCACTAGGTCTCATGAAATGGGAAGAGCCAGTCAAGTAAGATCTTCATAACGCTTTAAGTGTATTGAATATCTTCTTAAAAGGTTTTTCTTTTTCTATTAATCTTAGTGCGCGCTTGGAGAACTTCCGCTGCAATTTTCGCTGGTCGAATGCTACAACTTTGCTTATTGGCTGGGTGGATACAATACGAATTTGTGTTATACGCCGTCGAAATTCTATCGAAGTAGCTTCGCGCGATTTACCCGGTTTTATAGTTGATCCTAGTATGTGAACTACGCTGTTTGACTTTAAAAAAAAGCACTTAAATTTGTTTATTTTTGCAGTATCAACATTTCAAACGACATTTTATATATCCGGCTTAGCGCCGCTCACCTCCAACCAATTGGTTGTGCTGGGTTGCCCAAAAGAAAAAGATGCAGAGCGAAAATCATTAAGACCAGTACTATCTGTAATGGAATATAAGCTAAATAGTAGTGAGGAGATATGCACCGACAGTCTTTCATTGCGTGGGTAAGAAATAAATGCCATCAAATATTTGTTAAAATCATGAATTAATTTATTTAATAAATTTTTTTTTCAGCTACCAAGAATATACCGTGAACGATTACAGTTTGGGTTGTATTATTGAAGAGAATCGTTATTTTATTGTAGCACCAAAGGATATAGTAGTTGCTAGTCTATATGAAACGGATGATAGAGTCAAATGGCTGGTCGACCATCGGTGAGTGTGATTTTGAGTATATCTATAAGTATATATATATTTTTTTTTCATTCAAAAGAAGACATATAAAATATGCGGGCGTTCCGCAAACATTTTTAATAATTTAAATAAAGCAGATTTATTTAGGCTTTAAGCGAAATTTTAGCTTTATTGGTATAATTTTTCTAGATCTTTTTCATCCACATCTTAAAAATATTCAACTAACACTATTCGGGCCGCCTAAACACATTACTAATAGTAACTGAAATTACAGAATATTGTTGTTTGTTATATTATTTATTTATTATATATTTGGTAAATATATTATTTATTTAAATAATCACTAGATACACGAATTTAAACCTACTATCTATGCGATTTTTAATGCTCATTTATACATCCGCTTAAATGTACATACATATATACTACATACATTGTATGAGTTGTGCTAAGATTATCCGCCGCTTTTGTGTACTGTAGTAATATGAGCTTATTATTTAATTTACGAAAGTATCACAGCATTTATCAGCCGATTTTGTCCAATCATAATAATATGGCCTTAAGATAGTGTTTTGATCGTTTTCATTAACATCCTGCTCGCCACCTTTAATGCACACACTACCATCATATATCTGTTGCATATCCTCTTCGTTAAGTTTATGTAATACTATATGATAACGGCGACATTTACGTGGCTTATATTGTGTGTCGAAACGTGGATCGTGACGCCGATAGACAAAACGTTGAGGTGCCAACCACAAACCCAACGAAATATCCTCATTCGTGAAAGCGGAGAGCGTTTGTGCATTTGTTGCAATATGTTCACAAATTTTTCGCGAAATAACATAGCCTCCACCCATGGCATATGTTATATAATGTGTAGATAGATGATAATTTATATCACGCCATTTTCCCTTTGTCTTAACGTTTGCTCTGCCATAGAAATATCCCCAATATAGCGCGGGCAATGGTTGTCCAACATATTCTGGTGTTTTACGCACCAATTTGCGATCGTAAGATATCAGTTCATTTTGTAAAATATCCAACTTGACATATGTATCATCGTCCGTTTTGAGTAAATAACTGAATTCGTAGTGATTTGTGAGCGCTTCAATGGAATGCAACATCTTCTCTGTTAAATTTTCAAAATTTTCTTTTAAGCGTGGCAAGAGTAACATATCACCATAAAGCTTCTGCTCACGATCCAATTCAGCGCGCAAACCAGCTGGCATATCCACCGTACCAATGGCAAAGAAATGTTTCACTTGTACAAATCTACGTGCTGGTTCAGCATTGTTCAAATTGTTATCATGCCAATGTAAGAATGCCGTCAAGCGATTTGCTTGATCCGCCACAGTTTCCATCTGCAAGTGACCGGTGTCGCTATACTTGGGTAAATAAATCAAATTTTCAGGATAATAAGTTAGCTCCAATGGCTGACCTAAACGCAGCCAAGTTTGACGCATAACCATACGACGATTGACATTTTGTGGCGCTGTTATTATTAATATCATTAAAAATATATCTGGATGTGGTTCCATATGGCTAACGCCGCTTTTATGTGTCAAGCACTTTTCGGCGTTATTGAGCATATTACTCAGAAAGCAGCCGAAGAAAAATGCTATCATTGCGGTGAAGAGTGTTATTAAATTATTCATGCGCCTCATTTTGAGTGTATGAACTGTGCTGTTTGTGTAACTTATTTCATTATCACGCACTGGTTGGCGTGTTTGAGACGCACGTGCTGCTGGACGTATAATTTTGAAGCTGTTTCACTACAACTAGAGTTGTTTTAATAGAGTTTAGCTTAATCCTGCCGTGTCCTGCGCCTTAAATCGGGTCGCTTACATATGTTATATGTATGGATGTGTGTTTGGTAGTTAAGGCTATAAGTTTTCACATTCTGCTAACAGCTAACGCTTACAGCTTTTATAACTGTAAAAGTATTTAATATTAAAGTAAATTTGTTGATTATGAAAACTTATTACATACCGGCTTGGATTTTTTTTTAAACTATTCAATATTTATTTATATCTCCGCTGTGCTAAAATCTACTTGCTACCGATTTTTTCCATTTGTTTTATTGACAAATGTAAATATAGTGTTGCCACATAATGGCAAGCAAGTTTTTAGAATAAATTCAACTTCCGTTGCCCATTTTGAATAAAGAGGGGAGCATTGTCAAGGGAAATGAAAAATAAAGACGACTGTTAAATTAAATAAAAAAAAATTCTGTGTAATAAAAATATTTGAAAAGGGGGAAGTTGCTAGCTGTGTTAATCAGACCCGTTTAGTTCTACGATGTTATTCTGTCTGCAGTTATTCTGAATATTTTGTTAAAAATAAGTTTGGAAAATTCTGAGACATATCCTTTCAAGTATTTAGCTACTGCTAGCTTCTGTATTTGGGGACATTATAACTAGCTATTTATTTCTCTAACCTTAATTTAAATTCAAGTTTTTATTTTTAATTTTTTAGCAAATTTGAAGAAGCAATGGAGGTTATATCAACCCATGGCGGAAGTTGGACGCTAATCTCTGTTGCCAAGTACGTACATCCATAAATATAATATATATTATAGCATGCATTTTCTCTGTTTCCAATGATAAACCTTTCCACAGATTGTATATAAATCATCTGCTATCACTGAAGCAATTCGATGATGCTGCTAAATTATGTCTACGAGTTTTGGGTAATAAAAAATCACTTTGGGAGGAGGAAGTATTCAAGTTTTTCAAATGTAGTCAACTACGTGCGGTCAGTGCTTATCTACCTACCTCCGATGACTGTAAACTTGATCCACACGTTTACGAAATGGTATTATATGAGTATTTGAAACATGATGCAAAAGGATTTCTTAATCTCATCAAGGAATGGCCATCAAATTTATACAACTGCGCGGCGGTTATAAATGCAATACACGATAATTTTCGTAAACAGAATGCGAATGAGCTGCTGGAGGCACTGGCCATACTCTATTTGCATCAGCGCGATTATGAAAGTGCGCTGCGAATGTATTTAAAGTGAGTTAAAGGAATTTTTTGTTTATCAAATTTCAATTAGAAAATATTGTAGTTACTAAAATTGTACATGTATGGGATTGCAGATTACAAAATGCAGACGTATTCGAAATGATCAGACGTTATGATCTCTACGATGCTATACATAAGATGATCATACCACTCATACAGTTAGATCGTGAGCGTGCCTTTAAAATATTATTTGAAAACAAGAAAATTCCCCCTGAAATTGTTGTGCAGCAATTGGAGCAAAATCAGGAGTATTTATATTGGGTGAGTGTCAGTCTTCAAATGCCATACTTACGTTTATAAAGTTAATTACTTGAAAATCTACTCGTTTACAGTATTTAGATGCGCTAGATAAGGTTGACAAAAGTGGTAAATACCATTGGAAATTGATAAACCTCTACGCAAAGTATGAACGCGAAAAATTGCTACCATTTTTGAAAGGTTCCAATCACTATCCCATGCAAGAGGCATTGGATGTATGTAAACGGGAATTATTTTATCCCGAAATGGTATATTTATTAGGGCAAATGGGAAACACAATAGAAGCCTTGAATATTATAATTGAAAAGGTAAGGCATTTAATATCCAGTGGATCTTGTTGTAGACCTTTTTAGTATACACTTTTCAGATAAAAGATATTGAAATGGCAATAGAATTCTGTAAAGAACACAATGACTCGGATCTGTGGAACATACTAATTGATGAGTCAGTGAAGGAACCTGAAATTGTACTAAAGCTGTTGGATGGTATTGTAGGTGTGTATTTCGCTGAATAAAATTTATTAAACAAAAGGAAGTACGGAGTACGGACGGGCGAAAAAAAGGAATAACAAACAAAAGATGTATGGACGAACGGCCGAAAGGAAATACGAACGAACGAAAGGAAGTACGGACGAACGAAAGGAAGTACGGACGAACGAAAGGAAGTACGGACGAACGAAAGGAAGTACGGACGAACGAAAGGAAGTACGGCCGAAGGAAGGGAAGTACGGGCAAACAGAAAGAAGTATGGACGAACGAACGAAAGGAAGTACGGACGAACGAAAGGAAGTACGGACCAACGAAAGGAAGTATCACGAAGGACGAAAAGCAGTATGGACGAAGGAACGAAAGGCAGTATGAACGAAAGGAAGTGCGGACAAACGTAAGAAAGAAGCGAGGAATATAGGGTCTTTGAATGGACGAATGAAAGAAAGGACGAATGTACGAAAGGGTCTGCGAATTAACCAAAAAAAAAAAGGATGTACGAACAAATGTGGGTTAACGAAGGAGTAGACGGACGAACGTAAGAAAGAAAGAAAGGTACCCAGATAGACATATGAAACCAACTAATTGACGAAAGGAACGAGCAAACAACCGAAAGAGATAAATCATTTCTCTTTCCTAAACTATAAAAAGGGCGACTGTAGAAATTCTAAGTGTTCAATCAATCAATTTTTTTTTTCGCAGACTACGTCGATCCCGTCGCTGTTGTTGAAAAAATCAAACTCGGTCAAGATATACCAGGCCTACGAGATGCGGTTGTTAAGCTGTTATGGGACTACCGTCTGCAAGTATGAGAATCCAAATACTTTTTCCGCAACAATTTCTAAACAAAGGAATGTTTTTTTTTTCGTTTTTATTAGGTTGAAATTCGTAAAAGTGCGCAAAATATTCAGCATGAGTTCTACTACAAGCAGCATGCCAAAGAGGTCACCATGCAAAATCGGGGACATTGTGTACCCTCTTCGGACCGCTGCATGAGATGTAATCGGCCTGTGCTTACTTTGAATGAACACATTCCGCCCGTAAATGATCTTGTTATTTTCTTATGTGGTCATGTTTATCATCAGAAATGTGCACCGGGTAGCACTATTAATGAACGCTGTGAATTTTGCAATCCTAGCGATTTGAATAAAGACGATCCTTTAGCTATTATGCTGCTTTTGCAATAAATTTGCAGAACTTATTTAAAAATCTGGAATTTTTAAGGAAGGATACAAAATTACTCAACGTCCTTGAATTAAGTTATATATAGAACTACGCAATAAATATAAAAATTATATTTGTACCGCTATTTATACTTATTGACAAACAACATAAATTTGTATAACTTAAGCTAAGATTGAACCTTTAATGTCTGCACAATTGAATATCCTTCCAGCTACATATAAAGACCTCAGCAACCTCCTATTTTTATTTATTGACCATCCATGAAATATATACGTATTTATATTTACGCGTAGGCGAATACGCAAATAATTTAAATATTCTTAATCATGCCTTTGATAATAAATATTTTTATATTGGAAACAACTTTACTTTTGTTGGTATGGTCATAGTAGCATGTTGCATTATTTTGTATTTATTTAAACATCCCGAAATTTCCCATTGCATGCATTTAAAATAAAAATTCAATTTTTACTGTAAATAAAAACCTATATTATTATTGTAATAATAATAAAGTTTAGAGAAAAATATTTCAAATTTCCCCACTTGTCCGTATAAACGCATTTAAGCCTCAGATTCGGACTTGAGCTTAGCAACGTAGGCAGCCTTGTGTTCAGCAACCTTAACCTTACGCTGTTCATTAGTGAGTTTCTTAGCATTCCACCGTTTCTTCACGCCGCCGCTCTTCTGTTCCTTCTTCTTGTGGGTAGGATCAGCGCGAATGGATTGGTGGGCTTTTTTGTAGATAGTTTCAAGCTATAACAATAAGAAAAAAAACAATAATTAGTTTATAAATTGGCTAAGGTAGCAGAAAAATAAATAATGTTGTTTATAGAATGTGCGACCATAACAGGAAATATAACACATTGAAGAGGTGGTAGATTTCGAACACAGGTCCCTAACAATTAATGTGGTCCACTTTTGGCACAGCCAGCGTCGTGGGTAACAAGACACAGCGGTAATTTTGAAAATGGACGTACATATCACAATGAAAATAAATAAATAAACTCACATCATCAGCACGGATTCCCAACTTGATGTAACGGCTGAATTGGCGCTTGAAGCTCTCCTCATCATTTTCCTCTAATGTACGCATGTAATCGGCAACATGTTGACCGAAAATATGTGCACGGTGCACATCAGCATTGAAGCTCTTGGCCTCAGCGCTGTAACCGGGGAAACGTTTCACAGAGTGAGGGATGTTCAAACCACCATCAACAGCACCCTTCATGGCACCGAATACACGAGCACCAGTAGTTGTACGGGCAAGACCAACATCCAGGTAACAACGGAAAGCACCTGGACCTTCATCAACTGGTTCGACATTGTATTCTTCACCGGTAACTTCAGTACAACCACCATACAGGGTATCCAGACCCAATTTGTTGAGAATGCGACGAGCAACCAACAAACCAGTACAGTATGCTGCAGCGTAGTTGGTCAAACCGACCTAAAAATAGAAAAATGCATTAATACAGTTATAAATATAGATAAGAAAATATAACCTCATTCAACCAATTAACTGGCGTATAAGAGCATGCTTCCTCATATTGTTTACTTACCTTAACGCCGTACTTGGGCAACTCATGGGAGTAAGCAGCGCAGACAACACGATCACCTTCAATTCTGGCATAAGCGATTTGTACAGTGATATCCTTATTGGACAGACGTACAATTAGGCGATATTTGGGTGTGTTGTACTTGTTCTTGTCTTGGAAGATCAAGCGTTTCCGGGCATAGTAATCAGTTTTACCCTCACGACGCCTACGGAATTTAACTTGATAACGCTTGAAGTACTGCTTGTTCTTGACTACTTTAACGAAACCCTGTGAAGTTGGAAAAAATACTAATTATTCAGTGCACCACCAAATTATAAACCATAGTTTTTTATCACTTAATTTCATGAACATCTGAGTGGAATGTTTATAACTTTCACATTACTTAATTTCACCGATATATCATTGATTTATTTCTTGTTTAATTTCTAATAATTAACTCACCATTTTAACAAAAATTTATTCTTATTTTACACCGACGGGATTTACGCGATGTCTTCACACGTAGGTGAAAGAAAAAAGAAAGGGACGACAACATAATTATTAGTTTGACAGAACGGAAGAACGGAAGCGAAAATCCAACTCAATCTCATCCAAGTTCAATAAGAACAGGTAGGGTTGCAAGGACTTAAATATTGGTTTGACTTTTGAATATCGGGCGGATAGAGCTGAATAATATTTCCCTTATACTGAGATGGTGGTCTAGTCCAACGGCGGACGAATCCTCTTTATCTCTTGGTAAATAAAAGATCAAGTTGTACGGAAAATTTCATTTGGGTATATGTGTAAAGTTTATATAAAGGCATTAGTTATTGTTCTATAGAAACCTTAAATTAGTGTTTATCATCAGAGAACTTCAGTAATAAATGGTTTTTATAAACATAAATGATTATATTATTATATAAAGCTGTGCTATAAAAATTATTTGGGTTTGGTTGATAAAACATCAGTCCTTGACTTTCGTAAAATTTGTATGAATAAGGTAGATCATTAAATTTTCACATACTTAATGAGTACCACTTGGGAATGCATCCCTGTATTCAAGCAGCTGTCTGTTCGAGTCTCGAAGAATAGGTAAACAAATCACAAAATGTCAAAAATTGAAGTGGAAAATTGTAAACTTGTATATGTGGAAAGTTTATAAATCCAATTGTAAACCGATAATTTATAATGAAAAAAGTATTAAACTAAAGTAAATGCAGCAAATAAAAGTATATTTCATAAAAAAAGATAATAAAATAATTTTACAAACGTTTTCGAATTGAAGTGGCGTTGTCTATATATCGGACGGGATGGGAAATGATAGCAGCCGATTAAAGGGATTAGTGATAGATAAGAATTCCGTGGAAGCAAATGACTTCTGGACACTTTACAATGCCGAATCACCAACAACTTCAAATGAAGATGGTCGACAATTGCTTTCCATATTTCAAGGTGAAGCGGTGGTTAATGGTCAATTATGGGTTATACAGGGACCATTAGAACGCGCTATAAAGGTAAATATGCGAATGATACAAAAAAAGTTTATTTCAATTAAAACGATATTTCCAATTAGAATTTAATGATATACCGTCATCCATATATATTAAAATATGTCACCACATGGGAGCAAGGAGGTCAAAAGCATTTAGCCACAGAGCGTGTACGTCCCTTAACGACCGTCTTATCTGCACAAAGTAGTTTACAAGTTTGCCTAGGATTACGAACAATTCTATGCAGCTTAATTTTCTTAGTGGAGAAGGTAAGTTGGGTTTTCAGTATATGTATGTTTTATTTAATAATAAATATGAGTTGCTTCCTAAATTTGTATTGCTATATTTTCGATTCAGGCTCTGGGACGTCATCTCAATATCTGCATTTCGTCAATTTACGTAACCGACAATGGCAGTTGGCGGCTGGCAGGTTTTGAATATGTTTGGAAACATAAAGAAATAACAAAATCCCTACTCGATTTGGTAAAAACATATCGCTATACTGCAGCTGTAGACTCTAATCAATGCAAAGAATATAACACCGATGCAATTGAGCAATATGCCTTTGCAACACTCTGTGAAGAGGTGCTGAATAAATGTAACAAAACCGGTACCACTGAAACACCACATGCGCAAGAGTTTCGCGATTATTGCGCCACCCACCTAAAACACAGCAATACGCAACTACGACCCCGCTTATCGGCCGTGCTCTTACATCCATATTTTAACCATGAATTTGTGCTTATACATTCCTTCCTATTCGAATTGCCATTGAAGAGTGTGCAAGAGAAGCAGGATTTTTTCACAGGCCTTATCGATCGTTTACGCTATTTCAATGAAGAAGTGGTGGGTGCGCAATTAGCTGCAGATTTACTCTCGCGTATGGTCTTATTAGACCCCACAGCGCAATTGTGTGTTACGCCCTATGTGCTGAAAACGAAGATTGATCACTCAGCAGCATTATTTTCCAATCAAACGTATTTGCGTTACATTATGCCACATATAAAGAAAATGTTTCGTCTACGCGATGCCCAAATACGTTTGATATTATTAGAATACTTTATAGAATTTGTAAGATTGCTATCAAAAGACGAACTGCTCGAATGTATACTACCGTATTTGCTGGAAGGCATGAACGATACAAATGATGTGTTGGTTGCGAAAACATTGCGTTGCATGGCTGATCTAGTACCAATTTTGGGTGCATCCACAGTAATTCGCGGCAATCGTACGCGTATATTCTCCGACGGCCGACCACAAGCTGCAGTTTCCGATGCCACAACACACTGGGTTGAGCCACGTTCAATAACGCCTGTATTGGGCAATAATATGGATTGTATGGTCTCGGATAGTCCATTACCCGATAATGTAGATTTAAGTGACAGCTTTATTTCTTTGCCGCAAGGTGAAATAAATGAACAATTAGATATGCCACCACGTCTTAGCCCGGATGGTGGTGAAGACGATAAGAGTGCAGTGGTTGTCGATGGTGTGCTTACGGAACTCTTGCAACAGCAAGATGTTAACAGCGAGAATATAACTGAAACAATTGTGGAAGAGGAAATTTTTATCAATGGCGATACAGCAGGTTTAATTAACCAAAGTATTAATGAAAACCTAAACACACTTACGGATATATGCTCTAATGTACATACTGAAAATACAGATTATGCTAAAAAAATAACCGCCAACAATGGGTTTCACGACCAGCAACATGTAGAGCAGAAAGAGGATGATGAAAATGAAGAATGGTCCGATTGGGAAACTGATGAGCTGCAGAAACTTCATAATGACACAGAAGCTGATTCGACAACGACAGAAAAAACAAATTCATACCAAGTGACAATTGCACTGCCTCATAATGGTATTGACGTAGCATCACTGCAAACTGTTAACGCCGCCACGAAAGAGCGTTTGGGAGAGGTAACAAATTATTGATGGACATTGAAAATTGGTTTATATTTCTTAATAACTAATTTCACCATTTCACAGGCTAGCGCCCAACAAACACGCAGCTTGATAATAAATGATGATCTCAACGCTTTTGATATAGTCGTACAAAAATCCACCACTGCACCGTTGGAAAAAAGTGCTGAATTTGATTTCTTTAAAGATATGGAACCTGTTATACAGTCAAGGAGTAGCGTGACAATACCACCACACAATTTTACTACAAATTCGCCAAAAATTGCAATTAAATCGTCAAATAAAATTGACACCGATGACATTGTAATCGATAGTAGCCGCTTTGCAGCAGTTGCAATAAATGCAGATGACAATACGGCAAATGGCGATGGTTGGGGTATGGATGACGATGTTGAAGATGCGTGGAAGGAATAGTACGCCATAAGGCTGCCATGTCTCGAGCGGTAGTCATTGCGAACAACATTGCGACGTTGATATATTATATATGTGATTGAGAATGTTGTCAAAAAGTTGCAATTATCAAGCTAAATTGTTAAAATTGTCTTTATGTTACTTTTGTATTTAGTGAAAATATGAATGCGCCTGTATATGTGCACTGATTATAGTTTGCCCTTATCAAATACCGACTTGTGTATGCCAGATTTTCAACAAATCCCTTTTGTTGGTATTGTGTACTAATATTTAAATTACAGGGAAAATATATACAACAACTAAATTCAATATTCTTGTAGATACATACATACATACATTCATACGTTTTAATGCAGTAAATCAAAATATGAATAAATGATATGGACATATTTAAAGAAAAAAACAAACACATTAAAAGTAGTAATAAAAAGATGTTTTACCCGAAAGACCCTATGCTGGTGTTTATTGTATTTACATGTATACATATGAGTATATGCAAAAAACAAAAAAATGTGTTGGTATGATTGTTTTAAGCACTTTTAGTACTTTTGAACAGTTTTTTTTTTTTTTTTTTTTTTTTTAATTGGCAAAAATATTCTTTTTGGTTTTTTGTTTAAATAGGAATCGCATTGTGGCGCCCAACGATGCTTTTATACAAATTTATTTCGCTTTTCTCCATCATTTTTCTCTCATACACTTCACATCTGACTTTTCTTGTAATATTGGTCAACGGGAGCAGTTAACTACACAGAGGCTGATGCGTATCTTGGCAGCGAAAAGATTATGGTTCGAGTGGATATAAGAACTTCGGAGCATGTGCACAAGCAGAACACAGGTAACTTGGGCCCCAGAATCGATATTGTTACGAGTTTTTCGATCCGGTGACAATCATGTATCTTGATGAATTTTCTTACGCCCGAATTTGGTCCTACGGATAACCATATTTCGGATCGCAACCAAACAAGGCATGGAGCGTGAATTGCTCGGGTTTTTTTTTGGAAATATTTCCTTTTCCCAGCCAGCGGATTGTGCTAAGACCGTCGTACACCAAGCTGAATGATAAAATTCGACAACCGAGTCTTTCTTCTATCATAAAAGCCTCCCATCATGTTGTTGTCGGTGTCAAAAGCTTTTACTAAATCTCCAATGCTACTAGGACAGTTGGTGCGCAGGGCCGGTTTTGGTTGAGACCATGGACTATCGGGGCGTTTAACACTAACGGTAACCGGTTCTATACAACCGAACTTACCCGGATTCCCATATATAACGCTAATTTTAAGTTAAAGGTACTCGTATTTTTCTAGGGACGGTCAGTGGTATTAACAATCGAAAGGCCACACTCGAGTTCGGGTCCGACCAACATTCAAAGTTATAAAATTATAATTTAAATAAAAATTTAAGCAGATTTTTCTAATTGTCGTCGCCGTTCGGCTGAGAATATCAGGTACTCCAAGCGCATTTCTGGCATGAAATAAAAAGCTTTTCATAAAAATCCATTAGCCGTTTGGAGGACATTTAATATAAACTGTAAGTCCCTTCATTTTTTATTATATATAATATATATATATATGTATGAAGTCCTACCTACCAAAAAACGGAACTTCTATTTTTTTTATTGATTTGTGAACTTAGCATCGAGTAGTTAAGAAATTTATCGAAAAAACTTTCATCGCACCTAAAGGATATGGACAAGCCTGCCTTTCTTGTTGTAAGACTTTCAGCGAAATTCAGGCGGCCTGTTTGCAACGTTCGGTTCCGTTTGAGCTCAGTTTTCCTTACTAATGTTTTATATTTATGTGTAATTTGGTCCAGCAACTGCACTGCAACTCGCTGAAGGTCGTTGAATAAAATTCCATACAGTTATATATATATGTAAATATATATTTATGTAAATAAAAAAAAAGAAATTTAACTGCAAATTAAAATAAAAATAATAATAATAATAAAAGAGGCATTGCATTTTTGTAATAATATTTTAAATTTTTATTTTAAAAATTAGCTTAAATCCTTTTTTCAAAAGATTTAAATTTCTTTTTTTTTGTAGTTTTCTTTTCATTTGATGATTTTTGTTCTTCAAAGATTTTTTTGTTATCATATTCTTTTAACTTCACCTCTTTTTACCATTTTTTTCGTTTTTTTTCTTGTTTGTTTGCTTGTAAAACATTTTCATCTTTTATAAAGTATGTATGTATATATGCATAGCTTATATAGTTGGGAGTTTTTCCATTTTTAATTGCAAAATGTATGGTTTTATGTTCAATGAATGAATTAAAAAAAAAAAAAAAACGGAAAAACTAAAAAAGTAGACCTAGAGAAATTAGGTAATTGTAGTGAGACGGCGGCATATAATGGCGCCATAATAAAGTTTGTATAAGTTTTGTGAAAGGATAGTGAAGGTAAGGAAATGAAATAACATTTATCTATGCGGGAGGTTCATCAATAGTGTTTTTTTTTTCTTGCATAATTTGTTTAACTTGGTATGAGTTTCGGTAGTGTTAGCGTAGTTTCTGTGACTCATTTCTTGTTTCTTGGATAGACATTTTTTCTGTGGCGTTTGCTTTTTGTTTGGGCAGCTTGTACACCTTTTAAGATATGGTGGCCGCAAGTGATTCATTTTATGTTCCTTTTCATGTTTATATACATACAATTTTAGCTCTTTCTGTTCAAGTTTGTGTTTTTTTTTTTTTTAATTTAAAAATGCATTATGTCGCCAGAAAACATGCAGTTTTTTCTTTGTAAGAGTTTTTTTTCTTTTGCTGAGGCCTAAGCAATTTGTGATATTTCCAAATTATAATGCTGACTATTTTTTTTTTTCAATTTTCAGTATTTTTATGTACTATTTTATATGATGTGTGATTGTATGTTGTAGATTTGATATTTTTCGCTTTTTTCTGTCGTTTTAAAACGCAGTTTCAGAACTAATAAACAATAAAAAAAAGTGAACATAGCTACTTAAAAAAGGAACAACACATGAAAAGTGCTGACAGGTTGTTTTTCGCAAACGTAGTACTTCTTTTTCTTCTTTTTGATCTGGTTGGTTTATTATATCGCTGTTGTTGTTAGCCGTTGAAAGAGGTGGTAATGTTGGTTTTGTTGTTGTTGTTGTTGTTGTTGTTGGCTGTTGTACCTTAAAAGTTATTCAAATGTGTGTGTGTTTTTATAACAAAATTTCTTTTTACATTGGCTGCAACATACAGCGATTAATTCAACTCCTTGTCCTCTAAGTACTTGTATTCAAATGTGAATCCCTCCTTTTTCCGTTGACTCCATTTCTCATAATCAAAATAGATGTACGTACCCTGTATTATGTGCAAAACATAATATAAATATTTTTACGTATGTGTATAAATTCAACTAACCTGTTCGTAATCATCGTTAATAATTTTTGGTTCCTCATGCCTTTGGAACCACATCATGTACTTTGTGTGAAATCGCCAGCTTTGCTTTTTCAATGCTTTCGCTGCTAAATATTGCGCCTTCGAACCTTCCATATAATAGAAAACAAAGAAGAGCGTTTCGGTCGAGAGACGTTGATAAAATTCAACGGTATCGTAGAGTGGAAGCTGTTGCTGTTGTTAAAACAGAAATCAAAATGAATGAAGTTTTCAGCTTTCTAATTGAAACAAAAAAAAAAGGAAAGAAAAGAAAAAACTCGCATTCATACTAACCTGAGGATAATGCTGTGGTGTCGGCACTGGCGTACGCGGCAGGTATATGTTTAATCGCTCCGAATCAGCTGGCGTCGGTAGATGATAATAAGCGGCTTCCATCATTTTGAATTGTAATTGATGATCTTTATGCAGCGGCAATGTGCCAAGTGGTGCCACACCAAGCAATGGTGTTATATGTGCTTCGTTAGTGGGCTGTTGCTGTTGCTGATGCGGTTTGCTACCCACCGGCGCATTACCAGCGCCTGGTTGACCGACACCGGCATTCGTTATGCCCGCCAGACCACCGCCAACTGTGCCCGCTCCTGCTGTTGTGGGTCCATTTGTTGCTGCGGCGGCGGCAGCAAATGCGACTGCTGCTGCTGCCAAACCACCCGCTTGCTGTTGTTGTTGTTGCTGCTGCTGTTGCTGTTGTTGCTGATTGGCAGTTGTATCATTTGAGAAATGCTGCAAGACCTGCTGTGATTGTGGCGCTTGCTGCTGCTGTTGCTGCTGCTGCTGCAGTTGTTGTTGTCTGTTGTCCATCTGTTGCTGACCAGGTCCTTGCGTCAGCGAATTTGTATCAATAACCGAACGATTTATGGCTTCCTGGGCCATCGTCTTCAATGAAATCGCATCTACCGAATTGTTGTTGTTGTTATTATTATTATTATTGTTGTTTATATTCGCTGCTGATATAGGCAAGCCATTCATATGCTTCGGTGACAGCAGACCGGGCGAGGCGCGTGAACTGTTATTTGTTACACCAATAACTTGCTGCTGTTGTTGTTGCTGTGCTCCAATCACCTGTGACAAGCCGTTTGGAGAAATGCAATTTGCTAAATTGTTACTGCCAACATTATTCACTACACCAACAGCCGCAGCGGCTGCGGCGGCGGCTGCTGCAGCAGCGGCTGCACTACCTTGTTGCACGGCATTCGCTAAACTATTTGCTGCATTGTTATTGGAAGTGTTATTATGCGCTAAATAAAAAAAATTAATAAAATTAAAAAATATTTTTATATAAGTAAAGCCACCAAGTTGACAACAAACCGTTTTGTAAATGTGAGGAATTCGTTTGAAGATTGGATAATTGTTGTTGCTGTTGCTGCTGATGCTGCGTATTAGACGCCACCGTGGGGGCCGTCATCGCGTATGAAGTCACCGGATGCACAGGTCCATTTTCAAGATGTGCTGAAGTGAAAAAGTTATTATATTGCATTAAGCCCATCCTCGCACATTATGCAGTTATAAGAAAACATGATAGGACATCTAATCCTTAGCTTCTTTCATACTTACATGTATTGTTTTTCGCTACAGCCGCAAATGCAATCGTTGGCGTCGCTTGAATCACAGATTGGCCTTGAATGTTGCTGTTACTGTTGTTGCTGGCATTATTAGCCGCCACTGCTGCCGCTACCGTCGTCATGCCACCCGCTGCTGTGCCCGTTGTATTGCTGGTATTCAAACTAGGCGCCGGCGCGTGCTGTTGCAATGCAGGCGTGTGTCCAGCAGCCATTGCCGCAACTGTCGCTGCCAATGTGGGCGCACCACCAACTATGCTGTTCGCTGTGCTGCCTGCCATCGTTGGTGCCATTGCTGCAGCAACTACTGCCGCTGCCGTAGGCTGTTGTTGTTGGTTATGATTCTTATTGGGCGTCGAACTAACTGCTTTGCTTGAAGGCGCTACAAATACAAAACAGAGAAAATTATGAGTATGTTGTTTGCTAGAGCATACAATGAAGGTGGTAAAACTAACTTTCCGATGTTGAGCCGCTCGAAGATTTACTGCTGCTATTAGCTGCACGCACTGCCGTTGGCTTAACAGGTTGCTGAAAAGTAAGTTAAAAAAAAACATTATTATTTGATTTGATCAAATTCATCTTGTGCTATTTACTCACTTTTGCTTTGCTGCTTGAATTACTCTCATTTTTGTTCCTCTTATCGCTGGCTGTTGCATCTGTATTACTGGTCGCTGACGCTGTCGCTGCCGCCGCCGCCGCAGCTGCTTCCGCTGCATAATTCATGCTGTTGTTGATATTAGTTTGCTGCTGCTGCGTTGCCGCCGCTGCCGTCGTGTTAATTGTAGACGCCGCTGTTGCTGCCGCCGTCGCTGCTGTCATAATCTGCTGTTGGACACCTGATGCAGGCGCTGGCGATTGCACTGGACTTCCGCCCGATGTTATGCTGCTCGGCGAACCGCTCGTCTCGTTGCTGTTGTTGCTGTCTGTTGTGGCTGATGATGGAATACCAAGTGAAACACCTTTAGTACAATGTATAAACAACACCACCAAACCGTCATTCATTCAACATCATTCAGACAACAATTGTTGTTGTTTGTTGTAGGCAGAACACGATGCAGAGCGTTACAAACATGTTTAGTGAAATCATATAATGATTTCGATGTTTTTTTTTTTATGTGTAATTTTTAATTAGTTATAGAAATTATTTTTGTTTTCAAGTTTTTTTTTTTTTTTTTTTTTGGTTTTTAAATATTCGATTATGCGAAATATAGTTATTTGTTAGATAATGTTGTTGTAATATAAAATCATGGCGCATACACACACACAAATTAACGCGCAAAAAGCATATAGAGATATTTGGTGTGTTTGTTCAGTGAGGTTGTTAGATGGCCGATGGACGTTGTTGTTCAACAATAAACAAATCATTTTCATTCAACACATTTTACGGGATTTTTAATTGGTTTAGATTATGTGGATACATTTTTTTTTTTTTTTTTTTTTTTTTCACATTGAGTACATAATTATGTTATGCCGTTGATGTGGATGATATTCAGTTTTGAAATATGAAAATAAAGGCAGAAATATACATATATGTATAAGTATATGGTCTGCACAAATACTTTACAATGTGTAAATAAGTATTTAAAAATTTATTAATCTATAATAAAGTCTAATAGTGCATATGCCATATACATATGTATGTAGGAAATCTTTATTGCATTCATAGCAACATTATGTATTGTAGTTAAATTTAATTGCATATACATATATATTCATCATTCACACACAGCCTCAGTTAAACATCACTCACCTGTACCAGATAATTCCACATCGTCCAGGCCAATAATGTCATCGTAAAGAAACTCATTCTCTTCGAAATTGGGTTCTTGTGAGGATTCAATATAATATTCTACATCATCCTTGATTTTATTCACCTATTGTTGAATAGAAAGAAATTTAATGAAGCAACTATTTAACTGTAATAAGATTTAATTGAAGTATGAATTTGAATTCTTCATTAATTTTATATGCTTTTCCTTACTTGCTCTGCTTCCACGCCATCATTGTCAAGTAATCTCAACACTGTTTCTAACTTCATAACATGGAATTTATTTCGATCCAATTTAGCGCGAAACTCATCCATTCGATCCTGTTTATCTCGATCGAGACGTTTCTTTTTAGCCGCCAATAACGATTCGATTTCACTTTCATATTGATCTATTTGCAATTGCAATGAACTAATTGAAGATGTTAGCCAGGTGCGTGCCTCGTCTTTCTTACGTTGAGCTGGATCTGTTTTTTGTGCAGCGCCGAGACCTTCTTTTGAATACGCTTTTGTTTTTGTTTCACGTTCTACAATTTTGAAACGTTCCATTTGCTACAGGGAGTAGAAAAGAATTAATAATTTTAATTGTGATCAGGAGAAGATTAAAAAAACATATATTATTTTAAACAAAAAGTCTATACAATTTACATTTATTGAAATACATATGTATATGAGCAAATAACTGTTAATGTTGAAGCATAATTTACGAGCTTTAAGAAATACGTTTACTTCTTCACCCAACTAGAATGTTGAACCGGTTACAAATATATTAAAAAAAATGTATAAATGTGCTACTAAATTTACGCATTTACTTATCAAGATTAAAATTATATAATCTACCGTTTCAATGAGACGCCGATTATCCAACAGCTGGCTTTTATCTTTAATCTCTCCCGAAGCAATCCATGATTTAATTTGATCCCGAAGCCTTTGAAGCTTCTTGATTTCTTTTTTAAGATCTGCTTCATATTTTTCCTGAAAATAATTAAGGAAATCTTAAAGTTTGTTTTTTAATATCATAATTTGATTGTGTACAATTTGATGTTTTTTGTTTTCTAAAGGAAAAACACCCGAACCACACAACAACACGCATTTTTTATACCACAGTGCCTTAAATAGCCATATATGTATATTATAATGATTTGGATTTCTTACAAACACAGCTAGGAGCAGCCTCTGTAGTTTCTTACTCGTCAATTTTTCGCCCACTTCACTTTTAACGACATTTTTAAATAGCTGAAGGAAAATTCCATTTACATTACATTACATTATGTTACTTACCTTCTGATTACTGTTTGTCGCATTATGCACTTTTTTCCATATATCCTCGAACGTTTCCACTCCTTCCGCAACTTTTTTCAGACATCTGTCTATTTCACCTGAAAACAAAAACATATGTATTTTTACAGCACTATGACAGTTAATAAATATGTAAGCTATAAAACATGCATAAGTTCTATATACTTATATGTAAATGTATCCTTCCTTATATACCTAAAATTGAACATGCTGCTATACGAGTATTAACGTAAAATGTGTGTTTCGCGCATAAGTCTACACACTCACAAAATATACGCATACGAAAATTATTACATAAAACACGGTGTTCGCTTTTAACACTTTTAAAGAGTTTCTACATCGTATACTACCATCTTGAATGCCTTATGCTAAAGTCGCTTTTAAGTTACCCACTGGACACGAGTACAACCGCAACCAAGGGTTGAACAAAAGAAGTAAAATATATACTACATAGGTACGAGTGCGCGCGTGAGCTGGGTAGCTGGGCAGTTGTTCACTCGTTTATTCATGTGTACAATAGCTCGGTTGAGGGTGGTGAGTGGGTGGCGTAATTGTAGTACCCCAACAAACAACCATACTAACGGCACTGCCGCCAATTTTGTGGTAAACACATTTTTTTTTTTTTTGGCGTGAGTGACGATATCCAGTTGTCCATCGGCATGCTGTCGAGTGATTACTTGGTGAGAATTGCAGCGTTGATTGCTGTATTTGCCTTGTATGTAACGTATAATATATGTTTGCCTGTTTGAAAGTGCTTCATATATGTACACATGCTTGTATTGTGCACTTTTAAAGCATTAATAAATTCATTTAAAAGTAGCCAAGTTGTTGAAACAATTTTGTTTGATAAAATTGACAGGAGCAAAGAAATTCTTTTCATGTGCATTTATATGTATATTGTTTATGCAATAAAAAAGAATTAATTGTATATTTTTTTGTTAATTTTCATCAAAAAGAACGGCGAAAATTTGCTAAAACTACATATTTGCCATAAAATCCGTGCGCATGCACTGAGTATTCATTCAACGGTACGCGTGTATAAATGCAAAGAGCTATACATGTGTACGCACGAATGTTAGTTGCGTATATGTAATGGTAATAATGTCATGACATAGTCATTGCAATGACCTAATTTTTTCTCCACTAAAAGAGATGATAAGAACAGCTGCCTTTGCCTATGATATATACTTGTGTACATACATATTGCTAAGCTAGTGGGACATTACCAAAAATTTTTCAAGAAATTATACATATGTATATCTAGATATAGTTTTCTGAAAAACACTGCGGTCATATATGTATTTTTTATCATTAATACGATATATATTTCTACTTAGTTTATGCATTAATATATGTACTTTAAAAAAAAGTAATGAATACAAACATAAAAACAAATATTTCAAAGCCACAAAAGACTAACAAGCAATAAATATGTGAACGCCAAGGCATAATTAGGCAAATATTAAAAACATAAACAATATATACGTGTAAATATGCATGTACACATACTATGTACATATATTCTTGCGACAGACCTTCAGCATTTAGCTTTGATAACAAAAAAAATAAAAAATAACAATAATCCCATACTTTTGCTAATCAATTGATTAAATTTTCTTTTAGCCTTCTTTTGAGGAAATGTTTTTAATCCTTATCCCAGTAAAATATTTCAATGATTATAAATTGTATTTGCTTATAAGTATTATTTACATAAGTAATGTACATACTTTTATACGTATACAAAATATTTAGTTGTGATTTTATTTTCTAGAACCAATAGTCACATCAGTTAAGGGCTAAATCAATCAATAACATGTGCTGTAGCATAATTTTGTATTTTTTTTTTTTGACTTTTGGTGATAATTTTGATGTTCTTATGTCCTCAAACGTTTTTCTATTCTACTTCGGTGTGCTATGCATACTAACTCTTGCCTTTTTTATTATGAGCATATCTACCTAATGACAAAATGGTATGCATGCTAAATTAGAACTCGTGCATATGAGGTAATTATATTTCCTTTTAATGCATACTTTTCTACAAATGTGTGTGTAAATTCTGTAATGCACTACCTCATGGTGTAATCCTTGCATCAACAAAAAAATAGATCCAACTTTGACCTACATTTACTAATTAACTAATCAATGCAGCATGAATTGGTTATTCATTAACTTTTTATAATTTTGTAACAAATTTATATACATCCTAGATAGATGAATACATATAATAATGCTCTTATCAGTATTCACGTTTACTCCTTTAGCATTTAAAAATTTAGAAGAACAATACATTTTTTGTTAGCAATTTCCATGAAACAAAATGTCATGTACTTAAGTAATCGTCGATCATACAAGAAACGAAGAGATTGTAATCTAGGCATACGACCTAGTATGTTAGCAAAGCAGCAACATAACTAGTTCATCATATCATTGGTATTATGAATATCAGCTGATGTTCATATTTACATTTTAAAAGTATATTTTGACTGATAGTGTTGATTGTGCTCACCTTGCAACTTTCTCGTCGCAGCCATGGCTATGTGTGTGTTTGTACTCGCCGATGCAAATGTTCAGACATAGTCCAGTTGAACCAAAATTTGTTTTAAGTTATGTTTAAACTAAATGCACACTGTAATGTGAAGTATACACAAATTGATCCCTTCTAAATTTTGAACTTCGAAAGGGACACAGGTTTTGAACGATATTTGGTTTTCTATAACCAACTATGCCGATTTGTTGGTTTGTCAGTGCATTTGCCAGGCTGCTTTTGGAATGAAATTTACCACTTATGCTGTGTACTGTTGTAGAGAATGGTAAGCGCCTTGATTCCAAAGTTTCCAAAACCTTAGTTCTAATGTTACCGCAGCTTTCTAAACCCCATTCACCCGTAAGAAGATTAATAATTATGAATGTATAAACGAATGTTGTATCACTTGACGTACGATGCTTTAAAAGGGATGGAGGCTTTGACAGATAGATTGGCAGCAGTAGATGAAACGAGTGAATACCGTCGCCGTCCCCTCTTTTTTACCAATTGATGTTCCAATAGCACAAGTGCAGATTCAGTACCGTTAATATGTGTTTTACACTATACCACGTTCAAAAAACAAAAATAAGCACGTTGCGGGCTAACTTAATATTGTTTGTAATGCGTTATTTTCCAAGCACTTGCGAATGATAATTTCTTTTCGGCTGGCGGAAAACGCAACGGCAAGAGCAACGCAAAAGGGAAAACGAAACTTTTTCCTACTCGTCGCCTTCGCAATTTTTTCGTTTCTGCTTTTAGGAGCTGCTTCTTCAACTTTTTTTCGCTTTTTCTGTTGCTCCAGTTTTAAGCTGTTTATACACAATTTTCAATTAGTGTTTATGCCTATTGGATTTTTGTCTGTTTGGAAATGCTTTTGGTGCCGGAATTTTTGGACAATTATAAGAAATAATTAAATTTTTGACGCGATTTTCTGCTCGCTGGCGCTGTCAATTGTTTCGATTTTTCTTCTTCTTCCAGTGCTTTTTGTCTAATTTCCAAGATGGCGACTTCTCGTCTTTTTTCGTACACAGGGCTGCATTAAGAATTAGAAATGTTGCTAAGAATTTTTATGACCTTTCACATATCAAAATTAAACCAAGAGTAAAAGCAAAATGGAATCAACTTTCTATAAATGATTATATTCGTTACATTTTACTACTTTTCACACATTTTTAAATGTAATAATTGTACATCTTCAATATGGTGAGAACACTTTGACAAACTCCGAGCGGATATATTGAAAATTTTGCCAATAAACTGTTCCCGAAAAATTTTAATTAAATCAACTTAGTACGCTTAAATACAACTTTGATTTTATTGAGCTGCCAAATTTGCATATTTACTCTATAAACTGAATTGTCAAATCAATACAATAAGTGTATTTTTCAGATGTTTTTCTCAGTAACACATTAATTTATGAATAAAAATACTTAAAATGGACTTATACGATGATATTGATACAAAACCACGAGCTAGTCAAATTGATGGTTGGTCGTCGGGCATTAAAATGCTACAGACACAGTTGGCAATTAAGAAAGCGCAAGGGCCAAAGGAGCTTCCTAAGAAGCCGGTAATTTCTACATATTCGGAAATCAATTTATATTACTTCAATCTTATTTATTATGAATTTTATCAGTTGATGACACCAGTTGTAAACTTACGTGCTAAAAAGGCAGCGGCTGAAGCGGAAGCTCATAGTGGAAACAACTCTAAATCAGATACACCAATACTGACACCTAAAACTGTTATTACAGCCAAACCACTAGAACCTGTTATTGAAAATACGAAATCGGATGATTGTTGGGATTTTATCGACGAATATGATCCAATGTGGCCGAATGAGTATGAAAAATTAAAAGAGAAAAATCAAAATAAAGAAAAGGACCACAAAAGTAATGCTGGAGGTGGCGGAGGACGTAGCGAAAGAAAACGCGGACGAGGCAGAAATAATCCTCGAGATTCATCGCCCACAGTTAAATTTTCTGGCTTTGGTCAACGGCAAAGTGAGGAAGAAAATTACAGTCCACCACAGCCAGGTGCAGTCTCAAGTAAAGGCGGCGCTGCTATTGCGCCACCTCCTTCACTCCAAGAAATTTCTATAAACAATGAAAACGGCGACGGTTCATCAAATGTAACCATACCCTACTCCGCAAGCTCGGTCGCTGCAAAAATTATGGCGAAATATGGCTTTAAAGATGGTCAGGGATTGGGCAAACAGGAGCAGGGTATGTCCATGGCTTTACAGGTGGAGAAAACTTCAAAGCGTGGTGGTCGCATAATACATGAAAAAGATGTATTCCTGCCACCACCACCAGCACCTAACAGTCCACCTGTAAGCATGGCACCGCCAGCAGCACCTGCGCCAATTACTCCCGGTCTAACGCTAGCACAAGCTGTTGCTGAAGTACCAGCAGCCGAACCCAGCATTACAGAAATAATGAAAGAACCTAGTAAAGTTGTCTTGTTGAGGGTAAATTTGAAAGATATCACTTCAATTTATTTCTGTTCAATTCTTAAAAAAATGCATTTCTTGTTAGAATATGGTCGGTCCGGGAGACGTTGATGAAGATTTAGAGCCTGAGGTAAAGGATGAATGCAATACCAAATACGGTGAAGTAGCAAATGTCGTAATACACGAAGCTTTTGGTACAACGCCAGAGGAAGCTGTAAAAATATTCGTAGAATTTAAACGGATCGAAAGCGCTATTAAAGGTATAATATATTGTCTTATAATCCAAAAAAAAAGGACAATGCCTCAATCTTGGTTTCAGCTGTGGTTGACCTAAATGGACGTTTCTTTGGTGGTCGTCAAGTGCGCGCTGGTTTTTACAATTTCGACAAATTCAAAAGTTTCCAGTTACATTGAGCTCGAAAATTCTTTATTAATTACATTTTACTATTAGCCTATATTTGTAAAATTATGATAAAAATAAATTGTTTCACTTTAAGGATATAAAAAGTATTGATAAAAATAATACTCAGTTTTCTTTTAAATGCAACACTACAAAACTCGAAAAAACATTTGTGTAAGTGATTTATGTGAACTTTACAAGTTTTTTATGGATTTGTTTTTAAAAGAACATATGTATATATATATATCTATTATATTGCCTCTAATTATTTGCTTCAGTTATAATTTTTAATCTGTAGGTCTGGTATCGCCTGATCGGGATCACAAGTGAATGAAATCGTAATGGCATATCTAAAATATTTGAAAATTAAAAAGAATTTTTAGTCACATGTACTAAAAAAATACCTTTCCCCTTCTATGACTTGTTCAACATGATGTAGATTTTCTGCACCTGATGTAAAAGCACTCACTCTAGCTTTTTTCGGTTCAATGGCTGACTTAGTTGGATTGTCATCATTGCCGTCAATGAAAATGAATCGACCACCTCTGTAATCTTTTTGATATGTATTCAAATAGAGCAGAGAAGTATAATGAAAAGATTCATATGTATCCTGTAAAAATAAATATATGCATACATATTTCATTTCATGCCATTTCACATCATATATTCATACCTTATCCACATGCTCATGCCAATATTCGTCGTTCATTGTTTTGGCAGTCGCGTTTGTGAGCCGAGAAAAAAATGTAGGATCTGTTAAGTACAAACTACTGGCAGGTATTTCGAATTGCTCTGCTATAGCCTCTTTGATTTTATTTTTAACAGACTAAAAGAAATAATATCTTAAATAAATGTGTATTATTTATTAACCATATAAGTATTTTTCATACTCACATTATATATCCCTAATTGATATTGCTTTAATTCAGCCACCACTTTTGGTACACGGTATGCATTAACAAACTGCTCCTTATAAGAGAGTGCACCAGTATGCAAATTCAAAACAGACGCACCACCTGAAGAGCCTGCCATCGATAATATTTTGCTTGCTAGGTCCAATAGTACTTCAACTTCATCATGCTCTACCAGCTGATCACTGACGAAACGACCACATTTTTTTGGTACACAATTTGGATATCGACTTATCTCCGCTTTGTAACCATTTGAACATTCGAATTTTTCTATCCGCAGTGGCAGTTTCTCTTTAGCTAAGGCGAATTTCGTTTCTTTAGAATGGCGCTGCTGAGAATAAAAATAAACAACTACCATCAAAGAAGTAGCAATCACAGCACGCGTCCATAAACGATGTGTTGAATACTTTGTCGCATTTTGTAATTCAGCATTAATATTTCTTCTAAAATTTTACACAAAGTGGAAAATCAATGAAACAGTTTAAATTCTCGATAAGGTTAGAACTTACAAATTACTTTGAGCCTTTGTAATATTGTTCGATGTTTTAATGTCAGCATTTCCGTTTATTCTTTCTTTATTATTAACATTGCGCCTCAACATTTTTGCAGTAGTCCGGTATTGGATAGTAGATGGCTAAAAAATAAATAGAATAAATACTAGTGTATACATTGCTGTAAATAACCTATACATTGGCTCCACAATTCTTTTATAGAGTTTGAGTGCCGCCCAAGGCTGCTACGAAAAGTTTGCCTCACAAGTTTAAGTTATTAACCAGCTTAATTCTAAATATATATGTATATACGCTCGTTTTTGATAGAGCAAAACGAAATTCTTATGCAGAAACCTGGTAATTTGTTATCAAAGATAATGTTATCTACTACTGGAGAGTATTAAAATAATACTGGCTACCCTGCTAGCCATATGTAAATCAGCTGGTGTCGAACTGTCAAAATTGGTACATTCTTCCTCCGTGATAAACAAAATAAATCACAAATATTCCGAAAAAATGTCGCGATTTAGTGGAGCATTACAATTAACTGATCTGGATGATTTCATCACACCGTCGCAGGCAAGTATATAAATTTTTTCTTATTGATAAATATGAATACTTTCTGTAAGTAAATACTAACTTAAAAAATCGTGTACAGGAATGCATCAAACCAGTTCCTATAGAAAAGACCAAGTCGAAAACGGGAGCTAAAATTGTAATACAAGGAGATGGTTATTATGAAGAAACTGAGGTATTAACAAAAGCATATCTATACCCTTTAAGCAAAAGAACTAACTGTTTTTCTTTCTACAGGCTGGTAAACAAAAATTGCAAAAAGTTGAGATTACGCTTCAAGACTGCCTCGCTTGTTCTGGTTGCATCACTTCAGCCGAAGGTGTACTTATTACGCAGCAAAGTCAAGAAGAATTGTTGAAAGTATTGCGTGAAAATATTGCCTTAAAAAATCAATGTGCCAACGAAGGTATACGCACAATTGTTGTAACTATTTCACCACAACCCGTAATAAGCTTAGCTCATCGATATGGGTTGCAGCCGGAAGAGGCAGCCAAACATTTAAGTGGTTATTTTCGTTCACTCGGCGCAGATTATGTGCTTAATACAAAAATCGCAGATGATCTAGCTTTGCTAGAGTGTCGAAATGAGTTCGTCGAACGCTTTCGAGAAAATTCAGGTGCTGATGCATCTGTCGCACCACCGCTACCAATGCTTTCATCTTCTTGCCCGGGTTGGGTATGCTATGCAGAGAAAACACATGGTAATTTCATTTTGCCATATATTGCCACTACACGTTCACCGCAGCAGATAATGGGTATGCTAGTGAAACAATGGTTTGCAAGAAAATTAGATGTATCAGCAGAACATATATATCATGTGACGGTTATGCCATGTTATGACAAGAAACTAGAAGCCTCTCGTGAAGACTTTTATAGTGAAGCGAATAACTCGCGTGATGTAGATTGCGTTATAACGGCAAGTATGTATAGAACAAAAAATACTAAATTCTTAAAATTACTCACTTTTCTATTGAAAACTAGTTGAAATCGAACAAATGCTTACAAGCGATGATACACCATTACATACATTTCCGTTAGCCGATATTGATTGGCCGTGGGGCATACGTAGCCCCGAAACTGCTATTTGGGCGCACGAATTCTCTACTTCCGGCGGATATGCAGATCACATATTTAAATATGCAGCTAAGGAAATATTTGAAGAAGTAGTGGAGAAACTAGAGTATAAGAACTTAAGGTATATCTTGTACATTGAAAGGAACTTTTTACAACTTTTTACGGTTTTAATTTGATTTCCTTTTCATGTAATCAGAAACCCAGATTTTCGGGAAATAACATTAGAACGTGATGGTCGCACGGTACTTAAGTTTGCTATTGCTAATGGTTTTCGTAATATACAAAATTTAGTGCAGAAATTGAAGCGTGGAAAGGCGCCCTATGATTTTGTTGAAGTCATGGCGTGTCCATCCGGTTAGTTTTTATTTATTTATTTTCTTATTAAGGCTTAGTTTGAACAAATTAATTTTTCATTTTAGGTTGCATTAATGGCGGCGCACAAGTACGTCCTTCCACTAATGTGTCGGTGCACGAGTTGAACCAACAACTAGAAGAACTGTACAAACAACTACCAAAATCAATACCAGAAAACGAAGATACTAAACAAATTTATAATAAATTCTTCGATGGTTCACATAGTGACAAAGCAAAAATGTTATTACACACCAGTTATCACGCAGTGGAAAAAATGAATACTGCGCTTAATATCAAATGGTAAATTGTTTTATTGTTTAATCATACTTAAAAAATGTATAAAAATGGGGATTTTATATGTGAGAGCTATATAAATGTAGTATTAAAAAAAAATAATAAAACTTCAATCTAAATATTTTAAATAAAAAATTAAGTTAAATTTTCTAATTGCGTTTGCCCCTCGGCAGGGAATGTGCACCCCTCCGAGTGTATTTCGGGCATGAAATAAGGGCTCCTCATAAAAAAACCAGGAGGCTTCTTAGTATAAACTGTAGGTCCCTACATTTGTTGGAAAAACATCAAGACGCAAAACCACAAATTGGAGGAGGAACTCGGCCGAAAATCCCAACAGCGGTTAAAAAGCGCTTATTATATATAATATATAAATACTTTCAATTAGTATATTTCCAACGTTAGTTTTGCTTATGTGCATATTTAAACAACTGCAGCCGAATCTTGATGACATTTCATACACGCTTTTGTTATCAGTGAAACATAAGCATTAAGTATATATATACTTCTTAATAAGTGTAATAACCTTTAAGAATTCTTAACACTGTGATTTTTCGGCATCAATTTTCTTTTTTAATCAGCTTATAATAATGATAATTTGTATAGACAACAGACAATATATTCAAATGAAATCACCCACTCTAATCGACAATATTGGCTTGTAATGTAATAAAAAATGGAAGGTAAAATATTATGTTATCATTTCAATAAATCCGTGCGAGCGTTGTAAAGGATTTTTTTAAGTGTCAGTTTATATTAGTGTTGTTTATATTATATACATACATTAAAAATTAAAATTACCTATATCTGGCCATGTCGCTTGCATTGTATGGGAAAATCAGGCTTCAGAGTTATCTACTCGTTTTAGTTTTTCTAATCTATTGAATATTCATTGTGTCCGGTTAAAGAGCATTACAATTTTGGGTGTTTTCTGTGCGTTTCTTCCACGCTCTGTGATCGTTTCCCAGTATTTTGCCAACTACTCTGGTAAGTGGGCAGCATTTTTTGTACTTTTTGTTCAATATTATGTGTATATATTACACCGAAATGTCATCTATTATTACAACTAAAATAGAAATTAATCAAATTGTCGGTGCAAAGTGAAGCTATGCATATTTTTTCTTTGATGAGAGAAACTGTGGATCCATTTTTTTAAGGTCTGTTATGACTAGCTAAAAGTGGACGTAGTAAGAGGTTTTTTGCGTGTACCGATCCCTTAAAAATAGCCGTTGAACATGTGTATTTTAAATCTGATGAGAGTAACTTGTCATATAGTTATATCCTTATTATTTAAAGCTTCAATACGATTACCTTACAATAAAGGTAATCTCACAACACGACGGATTGGATGCGTTCAATTTGGCATTTATTTAATAGGCCGGGAGGATAAACTTGAAGAAACACCCTTTATTTTTGTCGGCTTTTTAAACACTTCCACTTCTCTTTTTTTTAACTTAAAAAAACTTCGGAAGAACTTGCATACATATGTATGTATATAAAAGCACACACGTGTAACTCCTTGTGTCCTACGAATGTCATGGAAAAGCTACTCAATTATTATTTTAGCGCATGTGCAATACGTTTCCGTTTCCTTATTCACACCTAGGCACTTATCTATTGTAAATGACAAATTAAAACAATTATTGGAATAATTTTTGTTGCTCTAATTAGAAGTTGTTTCCATATGGTTAACTTCTCACGCTGTCAGTGCGGTTTTGCACCACAGTTGCATACTTGGTGATAATATTTTAGTAAATGGAGTTTAGCTCAGACATATATACAAACATACACTCATACATATGTAATTTTGTTGTTTTTGGTGGTTGGTAGTGTGCTGTTGCCTAGCGAGGTTTAAATATTTAAAATTGTTTTTTTAAAGCTAAAAATTCCTTAAAAAAAATCCTGATCAACTCTTGCGTTTGGCACGGTTTTTTTTTTGCAAGTCTTTCTAATAATTTACACTAATTTGACAGCTTTAATTTATATTTTTCTTCCCATATTTTTGCATACATATACGTATGTATGTATAGGTTTTGGCTTTTTTTTTTTTTTGGCTGAGTTGTGCGCTTTTTGAAAAAAGCAATAAATGTCGGCATTCTAATATAAGGTGAATAAGCAAAAGAGACAAAGTAAAATGACAGTAAGAAGGTCAAGAATTTTTCACATACATACATGCATACGCATGCAGGACGACGAAATGTTAACTGCATCAGTGAGAGTTTAGTGAATATTTAATATTTTCGGCAGGTGTCTTCAGTAAAATTTTTTAAATTAGCAGTTAAAAAACTAAAAACAAAGCGTAAGGAAACGGAAATCATTGTTCGATTTGTGTGAAATTTCTAAGCCAAATCAGAGCGCTTATAAAAACAGAGAAAAACAGCCTATATAGAGCTACAGCCAAAAAGTAGGCTAAGTGAAATATCAACGTTGTGGAAAATCGACTGATTGCCTAATATTTGTTCTCTTTCCAGTGAAAATCACTTAAATTTACTGAACAGCGTAACTAGAGAAGGCTGTCTGCAAAATAAATGCTTGAAATTTACTTTGTGGTTTTGTAAATAATTGAAATAATTTTTGAGCGTGTTCGATAACAGCTCACAAATTCCATAAAGCTTTGCTGAAATGCTTAGTTTTTGGAATGCATGTAAAGGGAAATTGTAACGGTATATCGGCAAAAAACGAAAATTAATTATAAAATCAATACCGGGTAATGAAAATTGCTTTGCCAATTTCCGCGATATGTAGAAAATTTTCATGTGATTAACCTTTATTGAGCTATAATACGATATTGAGCTTTAATACGGCAAAAACAAACTTTTGTTATTGTTTTGCCAAATTTTTATTTTCAAAACTTTTACCCATTTTTTGTTTTTGTTTTTATTTTCTTTTAATATATAATTTCGGCAATTTTTTTTTGTAATAAATAAAAATATAAGAAGAGTACATCACATGGTAGCCCCAATACAACTAGCTGCCTTTTTAAGAAATTTTGGAAAAAAAAATCCTTCCCCAAACATCTAGTACGAATAATAAGATAAATATGTTTTAATAAATTAATATTAATATTTCATAAATTCATATCAAAACGATTTGTGACAGACATTTAGGTAATGACTAGTACCCAGCTATGACATTCCTGGGAATTCAGTAGAGAACTCCCTAATTGACATTTCACAGGATGTCGATCTGCGATAATCAATCAAGCCAATACAAGACGTAAAAGTTTGGCAGCCACTGGCATATTTACAAAAAAAAAACAATAACTACTTTTTTTTTTATAAATTTAATTCGTTACTCTTTCACATTTCCCTTTCAAGCTGTCATCGCAGAGAAATATTTAATTAATTTTTAAATAGAAGGCAACGAATTTTGCGCTGCTAAAAAAAAAAAACTTCACGCAGCTCAACAATTCATCATCGTTTTTCCACAATTTGTCAGTGAATAAAATATTGAGAATGTCATCAACGAATTCCTTCAATCATCCGTATGGCGTGTCGGCGGCTGCCGCTGCTACTGCCACTACCGCATCAACAACCGGAACAAAACCACCCGCTGAAGGTGCCAACAAGCAGAAGGGTGGCGGTACAACCTCAATGCGTCGTCTAGATTCAGCTGCACCAAATAAACGCAACATGCCCTCAAATCAATATAATGCACAACAACAGCATCAGCATCAGCAGCAACAGCAACAGCAACAGCGCGATTCAAATGCTTCGCCAAAGCGACATATACAATTTGAACAACGCCAACAACAACAACAACAACAACAGCTGCAGAAACAAGAACAACAATTTAGTGATGCTATACAAAGCGAAGATAATTTGGAGTATTTTATAAAATTTCCAACACCGAATTATCGCAACGATGCAATGGATACTGGCGATTCGGATTTTGTATTCGTATACAATGATTCGAACGATTCAAATGTTCCTATTGTGATGTTACTTGGCTGGGCTGGCTGCCAAGATCGTTACCTAATGAAATATTCAAAGATTTATGAGGATCGCGGGTGAGTATTTACAACAAGCGAACTAGCATTTTTGTCGATTTCATTCGAGATACAATAAGGTTTTACTTCTCAGTGCTTTTTTAAACACAATAGGCGGATAAAAGTTACATTCTGCGTAGAGCAACGTTGAATACCTAATAATTGAGCTAGACCACGGAGAGAGTAGGTAGAGTACAACCTTTGCCACTGCCCAGTTCTTATAGCGGCTCTGATATTTTTAGCTTGACTAACTAGGAAGTTGAGAGTGATCATTGACACAGGCACAAACGCATGGTGCGTGTCTTGCACGATCGGGCTTAACCTTTTGGGCTTGCTGTCTTCCTCAGTGCCTACACGAAGTATGGTAAAATCGTCACAGACATCGGTGTTAAGCCGGAGACCTTCCCGATATCATAAATCTTGTCATATTTAAACTGTTGATCTTATTAAAGTTGATGCTTAGATTTGCGGCTTTAACTTTACCCAGCGACTTTAATGCACCCTTTTTTGAATTGTCGGAATGACAATATACCAAAAGGCACGTGTAGTCAGTATAGTTAATGTGCTGCGGTAAGCTGATGTGTCTGCGTTTTCAATATGTAGCAAATTGAAAAATTGTCTGAAACGAATAAATCAGACCTTATGAATGTATTACAACTGGGTTATGTAAAGTCCTTCGCTTGATATGCTTCTATCTATGTAAAAGTTACTCTCGTTAATAAAAAGTTAAAAAAAAAAATTAGGTTATCTTTAAAATGGCGATAATCGTTTTGAGTTATGTTCAGGGAAAGCAGTTTGACCGACACTGTACCATATTTGCTAAAAAAAAAAATGAAGTGGTAACCAAAAGCTCTAACTGTTGCCGTACCTCGCCCATACTCACGAGGAGAACCTAGGTATGTGCTGTCCCGTTTATGTAAAGCCGATGTGAGCGGATCTATGAATTTGCCTCCCACAGTGGAATTTCTTTTACATTTGTAACCACCATTTTGTACTTTTTTTGCAGCTTAATTACCGTCCGTTATACAGCACCGGTGGATACACTCTTTTGGAAGCGCACCGCAATGGTGCCGATCGGTGAAAAAATATTAAAACTTATGTACGACATGAATTTCGATACACATCCGGTGATTGTGCATATTTTTTCAAACGGTGGCGCTTACCTCTATCAACACATATCGTTAGCAATGCGTAAATATAAAACACCAATACAAATACGTGGCATGATATTCGATTCGGCTCCTGGCGAGCGCCGTATATTGGGCTTATACCGTGCGGTAACGGCAATTTATGGCAAAGAACGCAAGAACTGTCATTGTGTTACAGCACTAATTATAACATTGACCTTGAGCATTATGTGGTTTGTTGAGGTGAGTGGCGTTAAAATAGATGCATATGTATATGTATGTTTGTATGTACATGGAAGGGAGTTTTTATTATGTATATTATTTATTTTATTTATGGATATTACATGTGAAATCAATATGTTTTTAAATACCCTCTCGCTAGGAAACTTTTGCTGCTTTTAAAAGCCTCTTCTTCAAATCAGAGCCGGTGCAAACAAATCCCTTTAGTGATTTGAAAAACGATGCAACCCAATTTCCACAGCTATTTGTGTATTCAAAGGGTGATGTAGTGATTCCTTATGAGGTAAGTTAATTATTTTAAGCACTGTATATTATCAGCTGTGAAAAATTTACAGTTTTTTATTTTATTGCAAAAAAAAACAATGCATAATTTTTGAAATGTCATGCTCAATGGCGGCCAAATTAGACGCCTCGGCAGAGAATTTCCAGCCAACGCCTGCGGTTTAGGGGCTCAAGAATTTACGCGCGGTAAGGCACGCCTGTCGCAAGAGGCGACTAAAATCCAATAGTTTCCGCGACAGTCGGGTCTTTATATCGGAACTGCCAAGGACTGTCACTCCCGCAACATTCCCCAAAAAGTACTTTGGGGAATATTTTTGCGGTTACAACAACAACAACAGAATGTCCAGTCCTTTGAGTATATTTCTGACATGAAATAAGGCCCTTCATAAATCATCCATCGGCCGTTGGGCGGCGACTTAGAATAATCCCTAAGTTCCTTCCACTTGTTCGAAGAACGCACACCATAAATTGAAGGAGGAGATCGGGTGAAAGTCGATGAAGCAGTTACAAAGCGTCAATTATAATACTTAAAAGAGGAACGGAATTTAAAAAAATCATTTAAATAATTTCGTTCCAAATCAAGCTCACATAGATATTATGTATGTTGCAGCGCATGCTGCTCAAAGTTGTATTTATTAATTTTTAATTATTTGATATTGTGAGATAGAATTTTATTTCAATCAAGAAAATCAACCAAAAAATATTGAAATAACATAATCGAAAAAATAAAACCAAAAGAATTTTAAATATACATAAAATTCGATCGAATAAAAATTTTTATTTGAATTTAATGCATTAATTGCAAATCAAAAGTAATGAAATACGATCGAAAAATATGTAATAAAAATTAAATTTGATCGTTGAGATTTTAATTAAAATGTAATGATCACAGCGGTATTCATTGAAAGTTATAAACGAAGAATAACGATTATTTTTCATCGGAAAATTTAAATCACGAATTATCGATTCCATATAATCGAAAAAATAAAGAAGAGAACAACTTAAAAAAGGGATAAAACATGATAGAACAAATGTTTAGAAGACAACAACTTAAAAAAGGGATGAAACATGATAGAACAAATGTTTGATTAACTATGAATTCAAATTTAATCAAAAACTATAGATAAAAAAAAAGTTTTAACTTTTATCGGTAATTTTTAAAACACAAAATGTCGATCAAATATGGTAAGCAACTAAAAAAAACCGATAAATAAAAACTATATATAAAACTACAATTATTTTTTTTGTCGAAAAAATCTACGAGTAAATGGAAAAAATTTTGCAAAAGTTATAACCTTAAAATCACAATATTTTTTTTATAAAAATTCAAACCCTCTTAGTAAATAAAAATAATTTTAATTCAAAAACGCATAATATAATTTCAAAACATGGATCAAATTAAAATTTTTTATTTTTATTTTAACAACAAACATTACAAGTGTAATGTTTTTTATCGATAATCTTATGAATTATGAGATTTTCAAAAATAATGCATTAATTTTTTTTTATTTAAACCAAATATCAATAAAAAAGCAAAAAAAAATCAAATATTCACAATAATACTAATTTTAACACTATTAAAATTTTAATATTTTTCACAATTTTGCTTAACCGACGATTAATAATGCTATTTTTTTATTTAGGATATTGAAAAATTCATCAAAATCCGTCAGGAACGTGGTGTGCATGTATCCGCCGCATGTTTCGAGGATGCTGAACATGTTAAGATCTATACAAAATATCCGTCTCAGTATATTCAATGCGTTTGTTCATTTATCAACAATTGTTTATCGCGACCCTTCAAAGGTGGTAATGACTTGGGCACTGTTACGGAAAGTGGCTCGCCAACCAGTTCCATTCGTTCAGTTGTGGGTGGTAATTCAGCAAAATATGATTAAAGTATATAAAACTACTACTGGTACCGTTAACGATTATGTACTAACTACATATAGATACATATATGTACTTAGCTTATATATAATATAAAAGTATACACGCATAATTAATTTACTTTGAAGGCGTCGCATGGTGAATGTGTTTGATTTATGCAACTGGAACAAGAATTGCTGAAAGTGTTGGAGCCGCTTGAAAGATTTGCAATATTTTAACATTGTAAGTGCACAATTTAATGAAAAAAATATTAAACTGCGTTAATATCTATAATTTTACTATAAGGTCCTATTCAAAGCAAAATTATTATCATCTTTTCATCTTTTGAAATTTGAAAGAAAATATATATTACGGCTTTGTTTTTATTTTAAATGTTCAAAATGTGATACTGTCGAAAGTAAATGAATGAAATTTGTAGATTTGGCACATTTCAAAGTGCAATTTAGGTCGTTTTAATCAAAACTAAATAAGAATGAAATATTTTCCTACTTAAAACAAATACCTACATAAATACCAACAAACATAAATGCATATTAATTAATTAAAAGTTATGTGTATGGCTTTAAGTAGTGAACGAATTTAAATAAATATCAATTCTGAAGATAAATTGTGTGTTTGTTTAATATTAAGTAAGCTCTTTTGGGGAAACACGGTACTCAAAAACAGAAGAGAGTTATAACTTTCAAACAGGATTTCTACTCTCTCTCTGCTCGCTCAAACTATATGGCCCTTATTCGCGGTAGGGAAGAATGCATTTGAACTTTTATTCCACTGTAGTGTTATGGAAGTTATAAAACACATTTGAATCGAATAATCACCTGGCTAAGCAGAACAAAATATCTCCCATTTTGATATATAGAGGGGAATTGCAGAACCCACCAACATGCTGAGCAAGATTAGATAAAAAATAACCTCATTTTGATACAAAGACCCGACTTCAGACAATTTTCGAGCTCCAACCATCTCCATCTTCAGATAATTTTTAGAATGCTTACATTTTCAATCAGTGGTTGTGGAAATTAAGGACTTAAAGGCCAAATAATTCTTAAGTTATTATGTGAGAATTTGTTTGATACACTTTTGGTCTCACAAGTACACTCGGATGCTTTATAAATGCGTTCGAAGCTTTTTATAAAATATTTTGATGGAAGTATTTTTGATATGTAGATTGGAATACAGTGTTGAATTCGTCTCAACTGACTTCAAGAGAGTACTAACAATTCAAAATCATATTTGAAAAACAATTATTTCAAATTAAATTAAGAGAAACACGCTGTCATGTGCCAATAATTCGAAAAATTCCGTTCACAATGGTATTGACTGAAATTCTACTTTTGTTATAAGTTTTTAGGTATTCCGACTTTTTTTTCACAACCGGCGGCGGTAAACAAATAATTATTTTGGGAAATATTAAATAAAATCGATGGCTAAGCATCATCCTGATTTGATTTTTTGCCGTAAACAACCGGGAGTTGGTAAGTTGCTAAAAAAAATTGTCTTAAATTTTAATAAATTTGTTATATTTCTCTTTCAGCGATAGGTCGTTTGTGCGAAAAATGTGACGGCAAATGTGTTATATGTGATTCCTATGTACGACCATGCACATTGGTACGTATCTGCGATGAGTGCAATTATGGATCTTATCAAGGACGTTGTGTTATATGTGGTGGACCAGGTGTATCTGATGCATATTACTGTAAAGAGTGCACAATACAGGAAAAAGATGTATGTAAATGTTCATAAGACCAGTAAAATCTTATAACTTGTTTCTTTTTTTTTATTTTACAGCGTGATGGCTGTCCTAAAATTGTGAATCTTGGTAGCTCTAAAACAGATCTTTTCTATGAGAGAAAAAAATACGGCTTCAAGCAAAAGTAATTACTTTAAATATTTTCAATACATTAATATTAACAACTCGTTCCCTTTCTTTCAGCTACTAGCAGTGTTGTTGACAATTTTGCGGATTTATGGAAGAATTCAAAATATTACATCTATTTTTAATCAAATGGTGAAACTTTTATAAACAAATGAATTTGGTTCGGTATTTATATTTACTTTTATTTCAATTGTATATAAGTTTGAATAGAGTGTATAATATAATGTAATTTATAAATCTAAACGTGTATTCATACTTGTACAGCTTCATCAGCAGTCAATGAATATTGCAGGCAAAGCTTATCAAATTCGGTTGATTTCTTTTCCAAATCAGCAACAAATTCACTTTTTGGATGAAATTGCTTTAATTGTTCCCAATAGCGTGCAATTGCTTCATGCGACTTGCCGGTCAAGTGTGCTAATACCATCATATTAATCAGTGTGTCATAATCATTGTGTTTTTTAGTTAATGCATCACGTAGAACAGCTTCTGCTTCTTCATAACGTTCCAAACCTAAATGTACAACAGCTTGTCCATTCAAAAGTAATGGTGTGGGATTGTGTTTCTCACAAAACTCTTGAAAAATATGGAATGCATCTTGCATTTGCTCAGTACCAAGACTCAACGCTACCCACGCTTGTGCTAACTGCGTTAATGTAGCATCATCCGAAATTTCTTGCATTTTAGCAACTAATTGCTTAGCCAAATCGATGCGGTTCAAACGCAACAAGCACTGCACAGATAAAGCCATGGACTCGAGATTCGTTGAGCCGTGTAAAATTTTTAAAGCATTCTCAAATTGCCCATCATAACAGTAGACAATTGCAGTGGCAATATGCCAAATATTGGTTTCATCCTCCTCACTAGCAACTTTATCGGTTAGCTTCTCCAATATGCTTTCGATTTTGGATGGTTGCTCAAAAGCTTCATTCACATATCGTAATGCTAATAGTGCGGTACTATTATTCTCCTTGATATCGCTAGCAATGAGCCGTCCAGAGTCAATGGCCAAATACGATAGATACATATAGGAAAGCAGATCTGTTGTGGCAGTGCCCTGCTCTGGTAGCACAAAGTTTATGGAACCCATAAAATTACCGATGTAGTACTCATTGCGAGCATAAAATAGCGTCGAGTTGGTGTCTTCTTCACTTTGCAGTGGTTTACTCATTTTGATGGTAGATTAAAGAAATTTTACTATTTCTTGAGCACTAATAAACTTACAGAGAATTTGGTGTTTTCCTCCAAATGACGTGTAAGAAAAACAATGTCAATAAATTGTCAAATTCGCAGCCAACACAATTCACAATTAAGATGATGTTTGTGAGTTATATTATACGACACCCTGTATGTGTATTTCCGCTAATTATGATTTAATTTAAAGTTGAACGGCTACAGAGGAAATTCAGAGAATGTATAATAATGTTATTATAAGTTCTCTGAGAAATTCGACAAGAGGAAAATATTGACCAATGGATGTTCTACATGTTCTACTTTTTAAAGACCTCAGCAGAAAGATAATTAATTTCACTCTCTTTGGGTACTCAATTGTAAGTGTTTAAGCTTGCAACTTACTTATATTTATTTGAGATGTATTATATATAAATTGGACATTTAAGGAACTAATAATTAAAAAAAATGTTTAACTTCCTTTTACCAACTGGCTGTGCCAAAAAACATATCAAAAATATTACTTCCTTCTGTTTGATTCTTAATTTATGATAAATTTTCTAAGAGATATGTATTTATCAAAGATCCCACTCTGGGCACATTCTCTATAATATCAAAATGATCATAGCCGTCAAATATTTTAAACTCAGTTTGAAGACCAGCTCCTTTTAATTTCTTCGCGTATTTCTCTGACTGTGCTTTGAATGTTTCGCTGTCATTTTCCCCGGCTAATATGTAAATGCGTAAATTTATTTGTTTAGCAAACTCAATAAATTCTCTATCAAGTTCCCAAGTGATCGGTGAAAGCGTTTCCGAGCTTATTGCATCTAAATTCCAAATATTATTGGGATTTACGCTTGGTAATTTCCAGCACTCCCGTAGATCAAATATGCCACTGATCAGGAAAAGCGATACTGTGCGTTCGGCATATCGCAGGCCGAGTAATGTTTTATTGAACAATAAAGTTGATAAGTATGCACCCGCTGAGTGCCCACTGATTGAAATCACGCTGTAAGAAGGAAAGGTAATACAAATTATGAATTAAGTACAGTGCCTGACAAATGTGTACGGAAAAATATTTACAGTGAAATTAATGGTGGAAACTCGTCTAATTTTTTTACTATTTTAATTACTCTACTGCAGTTTTAACTTTCATTCCAATTGAAAAAACATGTTTAACTTTTACAACAACTACCCATCTTACATATCGCATAGACATAACAACCGACTGTAAGAGAATATACAAATACGAGTATTTTCTGCGAGACAACCGTCCGTAACGGCATCGACAACTTTTCATTTACATGGCGCTCTCCTAACGTAGATTGCTATAGACGGAAGGTATGTAGGTGGGTAGTTGCAGCATTAAGCTTCATTTTTACGGCCGATCGTGTCGACCGCAATATGTACTAAAAAATTTACTAGCCAAAAGTTGCATGTTGAAGGTAAACTTTTTATATGGGCAATAGAAAAATTATTTTCAAAGCAGCCCCAAATGAAATTTAGAAATATATGTATGTATTTTAAGTATTTAACAAACGCCACAGTAAATTGCAAAAATCACAAATTGATCAGCAAAAGTTTGTGAGCCACTGGGAAATCGACCCAAGTAGAGGCAGTATAATAGATATCTTTAGCATAAAAGAAACCTAAACCAACAAGTTTTACCGATTTTTTGCCAAAATTCTTATGATTACAAGTAATTTTTCGTATAAACATATTTTGACACTAAATTTAAAAAAAAAAAACTGCTTAGACTATCCTTACTTTAAAGTCACATGAGGTACTTGATAGTCTGGGTGAAATTTTTGGAATATTTCCCTGGCATTACCTGGCTTGGGTGTCCTCTGCATAAGCATATAACCACTGAAAAAAATTTTTGATCTGTTCATTGATTGTAGCAAGTGTAACGTTGGGACATAAATTATAATCCACAGCTATAACACGAAAGCCCCGTTCAACCAACGGTTCGACAAAGGAACCGGATGTGCTCTTATCCAACTCCTGCCAGAAACCACCGTGTATATAAACAAAAATGGGCGTGCCTAGGTACGTGTTTACAATAAAAAAAATAAATATTATTCTAACACTGATGGTTGTATTTGTGTTTAGTGCATTTTACATTACCATATTCCTTATCTTTGTAGTAAATATCAACTAATTGATTATCAGTGCCTTCAACGCTGTGACTGCATTGCTTCCTATAACTAACGTTCTGACGTACTTGATGCTTTGTGTTTGCTCTTTGTGTTTCTAAGTACAAAAAATATGTATTTAACGCATTAAAATAACAAAATATTATTTAATAAAATAACTAAAAAAAAACTCACGCTCCGTTAAGGACTTCACAAATTGTTCAATTACCGCTTTGCTGGGATCTGCGGTGTCTAAAAAACGTTTAGAATTCTTTGAAGGTGAATATTCTTTATTCAAATCGAGTGTTGCAGCATTTTTATTATTTTTTGTAGCGTACATTATAATTTACTTTAGTATTTCCTCCACAAGCGACTTCTAATCAAATCATCTATGATCACACTAAAAAACAGTAAAGCCGTATAAATTTAGCAAGCTCTCGGCGCTGTCTACTTCTTAAGCTAATCATTTCAGTGTCTTTTCAGCTATTCATATTTGCATACATACATACATATGTATATGTTTATGCACCAGTGTACGTGTTTTATTTTGTAATCAAAATGCACTAGTTACTAACTAACTAAAAAGTAATATGGCAAAGTAGCCCAACTAATTAGTCAACTGATGATTTTTTATATAAAAAAAAATGTCTGATCTCTATCAGAAGTTCAATGTGGGCAAAAAATAAGCTATCATTTTATTATTATTATTATTATTTTTTTTTTTTGATACAAAAATTTTGCTTTATAAAATGTGTAAAAAAAATTAAAAAAATTAAAAAAAAAAAACAATTTAAAAACAAAATATTTAGTATTTGTGTCGTAACCGCATTGTGTTTAAAAACTAAAATATGGTAAATTTTGTAGAAAAAATAAATCTCGGAAGAAAAGAAAATATTTCCATTATTTCGGTAGAAAAAAATATTTTTTTAGAACATAATTTCGTTCTTTGATGAATCTGATGAACCGACTTAGCTTTTAATTTGGCTCTAGAAATTGCTCTTATCACTTAAAACATAACTGCAAAGATACGATTCATAAATTGATTCACAAGATGCTGAGAAACAAAGGTTTCCAGATTTTTAGAACATAACCACGTTTTTTGAAGAATTATTTGTGTTAAAGATACCCAGAAGCTAATATTATAATCTAAAAAAAATTAACGGCATTTATATTAAATCCATTAAAAAGATGTTGAGAGCAAAATTCAACGCTTTTTTTTTGAACAGCACATCGTTTGTTTTCTTTGAAGAATATTATGAACTCGTATAGCTTTTGTTATTATTGTTTTCTATAAGCTGCAATCTCCTCAAACGCAATATAATCGATTCACAAAGCGTCGATAAAAAAAAATTTCCTATTTTTTGTACATAACCTCTTTTTTTCTAATCTAGAAATAAAGACTTCCGGATTTTTAAAACATAACCACGTTTTTTGAAGAATTATTTGTGTTAAAGATAACCAGAAGCTAATATTATAATCTAAAAAAAATTAACGGCATTTATATTAAATCGATTAAAAAGGTGTTGAGAGCAAAATTCACCGCTTTTTTTTGAACAGCACATCGTTTTTTTTCTTCGAAGAAATTTTGAGCGATTTCTCTTACCGATTACGCCAGCAAACTCAGTTGTTTTTTGGACAACACCAACGTAGTCTCACACTGTCTCTTTGACATCGCCCCTTGCAAATTTTTAGGTTAATCGTTTTCGTAATCCTTGCTGGATTCCCTTTCAAATAGAGAAACTCAATTGCATTCAACATTTCCTAATATGTAGAACACTAAAATTGTCAGAAATATACATACAGTTTCTAACGCCGTCGAGCTTTACGGTTAATGAATTTTCTTTTTTTTTTTTAATACTACGTGCTGGTTAATATACTCGTAAGTTGGGTGCACGATATTTATAAATATAGTTTTTTAATATTTGTATATTTTTTTTTAATATTTCTTTATAAATTTTCCCAAACACAATAACAAGAAAATTATGCATTTTTTTTTATATATAAATTCTTAAAATTTATTGCCGTTTAGTTTTTTTTTTGTTTTTGAAATAATTACGCAGACGATTAAATGTGCTTAGGCCTAAAGATTTTTAAAAAATATATGTATGTATGTAAGTGCGTACAAATTTGAATACACACATTATTTATACATAACTAATATGCGTGTATAAGTATGTTAGACATATTAAAGTATAATAATTAAATATATGATAATTTATATATTTGACGTAAAAATAATTTGTAAGTATGTACATATATATGTATGTAGTAGGTACGCATATGTATGTATGTATGTGCATGTAGACATAGAGAACACAATTAATTAATGCATGCATTTACATACATATGTATCACCTGCACCGCATAGCTATTGAATGTTTTGCTATACTTAAATATATACGTATGTATATACATATACTTCTAATTTTTCAGTTATAATACTTAAATTTCTATATTGATTTACAATTTACAGTTAAATGAAGAATTGTGACCCAGTAGTGATTGCTTAAAACTAATGATTTTTTCTACATTTTTCCAAAAAAAAAAAAAAAAATTCGGTTTTATACATACATACATAGTTAGCTATTTATAATTATTCAAAAGTATTTTGTTGTTTAGTTTTCTTATATAGATTAATGGGAGTTGCTCCCTAGTATACGTTTAAACACACATATGTATGTATGTATGTATTAATAAGCGTAATACCAAATGCAATATCGAACATTGCAAGAGTGACTATTTCATATATATTTTTTTTAGTCTACCACGTAATTATCTTAAAAAATACTTTAATATAAGCCAATAATGAATGAATGAAGAATATCTTCTCGAAATGTTTGAAACGAAAGTGTACATATTGAATATGTATGCTTATGCGCTTAATAGTATACTTATTTACAATGAAATTTTTAGTAATCATACTGGGCTGAGGCTTCAAAATTTACAACTCATTGTGGTAAAGTATAAAAAAGAAAACGAGAAGTTTTCCGTTTGCGATGGCAATAACAACAATTTGAAAATTTATATATATTAGAATTAGAGTTTATATAATTAAAAAAAAAATAAATAAATAACTAAACGTCAACTTCTTGACATAAGTAGTGTATACGTGTTTTAATTTTTAATCAGCATCAATTCTTTATGCTGAATTTTCTTTTTTTTATTTTTTGTTGATAAACTGTCTTTAAGTAGATTTCTAACACAGTTCAAAATTATTGCGCTCATTCAGCAGAAAACAAATAAAAACTTAATTAATTTCACCTCAAAATTAATATGTAATAGCTTTGCATACATAAGTACATATATATGTATGTATTTAAAATATTATTTGCTTGTGTACAGCGAAAATTGCTGCAACGCTTGCAGCCATAACTACGACTCCTCATCGGATATGACAATTTCTGCAACTGTGCGTTGTCTTTTCAACTCATTCGGCGGTTTTTGTATTTTTGCTTGATTACTTTGTGGATTAACTAAATTACTTTGACTTTTATTATCCACAATTTCCACGTTTTTTATGCTTGAGACGGAAACTATTTTTAAACCTGTTGCTTGAGTTGCTGTTGTTTGTTGTTGTGGTGGTGGCGGCTTATTATTACCACTCTGAGCTGTTACCGGCTTTGCACAACCGTTCGCTACCGTTGTTGTTTCCGTGGCGGTTACGTTGGTTAATTTACTCATGTCCACTGTTCTTAACTTTGGCGCTTCGTTAGCTAATGGCACGGCAGTCTTTTCTCTCATTGCATTGTTATTAACGGGTAGTTTAGCTGGCGTAGGTGCTGCTGCAGTTTGTTTACTTGCGTTAGGCGTAACAACTGGATGTGAATTTGTGGCAATATTAACTGATTTGGATTCAGTTTTCGTTGTTGCGCTATCACTAGCACTGTCAGTAGCTGTATCAGTTGTTGACGTTTTGTGATGCGTGTTCTTTTGTGCTATTGATTCCTCCTCTTCTTTACGACTCGCAACCTTTGTAATTACGTCACCTGTAGCTTGTTTGTTGTTAACAATTTCCGTATCGGATTCGACGTCTGAGAGCTCACCATTAGCTAACTTTTCCACATCGGCATCTAAATCACTGCCATTCACTTGCTCATCATCGTCTTCCTCTTCGTCATCCTCATCTTCATCGTCATCATCTAACAAGACATCGTTCTCGTTGCCTACCGTAGTTTTGCCATTTTCTGTTTTATGTCGGCTTTTCTTTAATTCTGCAGCTTTCGCCGCATGCGCACTAGTGCTGGCCACCGCATCAAGTGTGTCGTCATCCGCTTCGTCATCTTCACTCTTTGAAAGTTTTGCAACTTTCGCTTGACGTGCTTCCTTTAACTCCTCCCTAGCCATATCTTGTTCACGTGCGTATCTAATAATAGAAATTTCAAATTAATATTTTCTATTTGTTTGTAAGCAAAATAGAATTTTTGAACAAACTTTTCAATCACGTCACTGATGCGTGTCCGCTTCTTTTGATTTTCGCTTAGTTTTGCGAGCAACTCAGCGTCCACAGCGGCAGGATCCTTTTCGTGTGCCGTGAAATGTGTAACGGTCTCGTAGAGATCAGTCTTACGACGCGACTGCAACAATTTGCCAACCTTCATGAACGCATCGTGCGCTTTGCGGATGAAAAAAATTTAAAAAAAAAAATTAATTTAAATTTTTTATTTTCAACATCGTTGCATACAAATATTCATTAAATATTAAATAAAGTATTACGCAATGTGTGCTAACACGGCTTACGGCTGCCTAAACGGCAGGCACTCACCGATGCGTTTTATTTCGAAACTCGCTAAAGCATAATCATACTGGCGATTACAGTGTTCTAACATGCGCAACACGTCAAAGTAGTCGGGAAATTCACGCGTACGATTGATGAACGCCTGCAGTGTCTTATTGAATTGGGTGTATGTAGTGCCATTGAAATGTATTGGTTTCTTAACCAAACGATGCGCATTCTTGCTCTCACCGGTAAGATCACATATTTTCTCATATATCTGTGAAGATGTATAAATATTTATTAATAAATTGATATTACAACAAAGAAAATACAGTTTTCGAGGTAAAACACTGTAAGCGCTTCATACCTGACAAGCGCGTTTCTTAAAACGCTCCACTTGCAAATAACTCGAATCCTCATCATCCCAATCCACCTCGGCGGACTCTAACACCTCAATGCGCTTTGTAAGTATATATAACGCTTTGTTTAGCTTCTTAATCTGCTCGTCGGTATGTTTATTACCAGTACTGGTGCTAATGTCTTCAATTGGTCCACTACTGCTGCCACTAACTGCACTTTGCGCTTTGTCCTTTTCCTTATCCTTATCTTTAACTTTCTCTTTATCTTTATCTTTCTCTACACTTGTGCTACTATCCGTTTTCTCTTTCTCTTTTTCCACCCCCTCTTCCTCCTCTGTCTTCACCAGCGCGACCGGCGCAACGTCCTTATTCTTGCTACGCACTTTCAATTCGTCAACTATTGTCTTTAAGTGTAGATAAACCAAATCTGGCTCCTTTCGTATATTTGTTATAACCGTACGGAGGCTCTTGCCAAAACCTTTGGAACGTACAAAATCCGGGTGTACATTATAATAATATTTTACTAGTTTTGTTTTGACAAGTTTCTCCATATCTGGCGATGCGTCCGCTTCTCGACAGGCTTTGAGCAGCTCCTCATAATCACTTGTTAGCGGTAGACGCTCTTCCGTAGGCTTACTTTTTTCACTACCAGTCGGTGTGTTACATTTAGGTGGCTGCACCGTACCGACGCCGTTTGACACAACCGACTCACCAACGGATTTATTCTTCGCCATTGTTGCTGATGTGGGCGACGTTGTTGGTGAAATTGTTATAGTTTCTACACGTCGACTAGGAGTAGTCTTCTCAGGCGACGCCGTCAAATCAATTTTCAACGGATAGGCGGGTTTATTGCTTGCTGGCTTTTTAGTATACACATTTGAGAGTTTGTTGCTTAGTTTTGTATCTGTTGTTTTTAAACTTTGCATGGCTGGCTGTTGGGCCTTTGTAAAACTGCGCGACTGTGTTCTGGCATTATCACTGTCATGTGGCAGTAGTTCTAATACTAAATCGTCATCATTGTATTTTTTCGCACTTGTTATTGCTGTTGTTGGCGTGGTTGTGCGCTTCTGCCAAGCTTCATCATTTTTACGCAACAATGTTGTTGGCTTGACGCGACGTACACCGAGTAATGGATTCGTTGTCGCACTCGCTGATGTTGCAGCGGTTGATGCTGGCGTTGCGGGTGGTGTCATAGCCAATGATGGCAATGCTTGTGCTGCTGCAGTGATTGCTATGGGCACTATAGACGCTGTTGATGATGAAGTTTTCGATTTGCTGGTGAAATTTCCCAAATTTTTACCGTTATTTGTTTTATTAGCAGCACTGCTGATTTGCGTTGCAAGACTATTCACATAAGCTATGCGCGGTCCGGTGTTTGCTTGTTGTAATGCTACTGGTGTAGCCAGTGTTGGTGTCGATGGTGGCGTGGGTGTCATTGATGTTGCTGGATTTGAGCCAGCAATGTTGTTGCTATTGCTACTTTTTGGTGGTAACATTATTTTGAAATTATTATTAAAATTTTTATTATTATTATTATTGATGTAACCAACACTACCACCAGTATTACTATTGCTATTGTAATTGGCATTAATGCTGTTGGCGACTTGTGTTCGCGCCGCTGTTACCGTAGTCGAAGGTGGCAAACTGCATGTGGTGTGCATTAATTTTGGACTGAATAATTGCTGATCGCTGAATGTGGTGGCCGCACTATGTGGCGGTGTGGCCAACAATTGCAGTGGCGGTGTTGCGCTTGCTGCCATCGACTGCACCGATGAGATCATTGGCAGCAGTGTGGCGGTGGACGTTGTTGAGATATTACTAACGGTGCCGATGGCTGTCATTGTGGCAGGTGGTGTATTTAGTTTGCGTGCTTGTGTGTCAAGTGCTAAGGATGGCGACTTCTGTTGATGTTGCTGTTGTTGTTGTTGTTGTTTGTGTTGTTGTTGTTGTAACTTAGGCGGATTCAGCTGCTGCTTTGACTTTTGCAGTTTCGGTGGCTGTGGCTGTTGTTGCTGCTGTTGCTGTTGCTGCTGTTGTAAATGTGTTGTGGGTGATGCTGTGTGGGACAAACGTTTTCGTAAGACCGATGGCGAAGGTTGCAGTTGTGGCAACTGCGATAACAAAGGTAAACCTTGTTGTAATTGTTGCATCTGTGGCAATGGCTTCTGTTGTAGCTGCTTGTTTGTTGTTGTCGCTATTTGCTGCGTTTGTTGGACTTTTTGGATTGTCTGCTGTGCAAGATATCTTGGTGGTGTGGACGTTTGCCTTTCCTTCGCATTATTTAAAGTTGTCACTGAATTTACTTTTATTAAGTTTGTTGCAGTCGTCTTAGCCATTAATGAATTTAGTTTAGTTGTAGCTGCTAAGGTGGCCGCTGATATAGTCGCTGTTTTCGCATCATCAATCGGGCTTATGGAAAAAATACCGCTGTTAGATGTATTAGAACTACTCGTGGTTGGACCGCTTGTGGATACATTAACAGGACTACGACGCGTGATTGTTATGCCGCTTGGAATTGGACGTGGTTTTGTTTTTTTCATCTTCGTTTGATTTGCGCCCGCATTTCCTTTAATGGGGGTTATTGTTGCTGGTATTGAAGGTGCAATGAAAGCCTTTTTCGCTGGCACCTAGCGTAGATTTTAAATTATTATAAAAAAAAATTTTATTTGTAGAATTATGGAATTATGTATGTGTCTAACAGAGAGATTAAACTTTTTTCTTTTCCAAATCAAACTTTTAATCGAAAATTTCAGGTTGGTTTGAAAAATATAGGATTTTTTTTAAACTTTTCAACTTTAGTCTTAACCCTAATTTTCTATTTAGTCAAAATATATATATTTCCTGGATTTTCTACGAAAATAGATTTGTGTAGTTTGAACACGGCTACTCTCGCATAGAACACCATTTCCAACTCTTCCCACCCACTTATGATAAAAATCAACAAAAATAAAAGGCGGGAAAATAAAAATGGAGACAAGGCGCTCAGCAAAACAAAATCCTACACTAGAGAGCAACGAAATGTGGAGACATTTTCAAAAACATCGCATGCGCACCATGAAAAAATAAATAAATATGACAACTAGCGGCAAAGTAAACAGTTAAGACATGGCGAAGATAACAAATGTAAACAATATTATCAAGAAATAACAAAATTTTTAATATATTTGCATATTTTCAACTAAAAACTCGACGTGACTGTACTTCTAGTTTAACCATACAACCTATACAGATATTAATGGGCATTTATCGTCATTCCACTACGTTTATTTTCAATACAATGAAAATGAAGTTTGCATGAAAGGCATGCAATTAAAATGCACAAATTCATATGTATGAATGTTATACAATTATTATGTTTTTTTAGCGGCGACATATAAACGAAACAGATACAATGGTAGTAGTAAAACAAGCTGCAAAAATTGATGATTCGTGATTGTATATGATCCGGTGTATTCTTATATGTGTTTGTAAATATAATTGTCGCTTTACAACAACTTATGCGGTTTTTGAAAATATTTCATCAAATCAAAGTTTTAAATCTTGGTCTGATGTGACTTTAACTTATGATCCTCCGGTTAGCCCACTCAGTTGTTTCTACCTTCACTCCATTCACAACTAAGCATACACATATACACATTTATATAGCTCTCTCTATATGGGTTACACAATGACAATAAATGGTTACAAAGTTCAGTTGTATTGTTTTTTTGCTTAGATAGGAATCTATTAAATTAATGTTTTGAATATATTACAATTTTGTTAAGCGTTTGATACCAAATACAGTAAAAAATTTTTTTTTCATTTCGTAAGTAGCTTTTCCTTAACTTTTATTATATTTTGTAAAGTTTATAAATCATTTTACAATTTCAAATAATCAAGTTAAATTAAAAGCCAAAACGTGCTGATTTATATTTTTATTAATATATTATTGTCTATTTTAATAATTATATTATTTAAAAAAGGACCACTTCACAACTTTCCCACTCCACATCCCGATGCGAAAATAATAAACAAATCGGAATTGTAAACAAACATTTGTCATATTTGTCATACGCGAATTCGCCGCAAAACAGTGAGCTCTGCCTTCAATTGACCTCTCATTCTCCATTGCCATTTGCAACCCTGTCATAACACTAACATCGCCATAAGACCGCGAAACACGACTACTCCCATTAATCTAACACCACTTCCAAGACTTTTAATTACATCGCAATCTTTTGTTGGCACAGCACATGTGTGTTCGTTGCCCTATTCATCACTACCACCACCTTCATCATTCCATTTGTTATTCGCGCATACAATTGGAAAGTCTCCACGATTTTCATCGCTACTACACATCTTGTAGAGTTGGGTGTTTTTTACTAAAAAAAAAAACTGAGCGAGTAGAAAATTTAACACACATATTTGTATATTTACATATGTATGCTCCATAAACACATGTAATACGCGCTGCTAGCCAATAACTTGATGCAGGCGAACTATCATCTATTATAAATGGACGTCTGTAAAATAGACTGCAGTGTCTATAGTTTTGGTTTCTGATCATACAATTTTATTAGCGCCAACTAAAACACACACACTAATGAAAAATATTTAACTTCGGCAGACGAAGAGATCAACAGCAAATAACGAAAAATTTGTCATAGCATATACGAGTTAAAAATGTATTCATAGTTTCACCGATTGTAAGAACAATACTTATACAAATTTTTTCCTTTTTTTTATTTTCTACACTCCGTTGCCATTTTACCTCTTCTTCATCCGAGGAGTCCAACACAATCACAGAACTCATTTTTTCACTGCGAATATTCCGCTTTTTTCACATGAGGTTGGCTCGCTTAGTCGCCCTTATTCTTTTTATATCACAGTTTGGTACCGCGCAAATTTTCGTCTGAAATACCACTTCTACCACAATTTGATAATAAAATTTATGTCTACGTGTTCTACTGGATTATAAAAATTTTAGATATTTTATACAGGAGGGCTGGATTAATTGTCCCGGCGCACTTTAATGGTATAGCAAATCGAGAATATCCACATTCGACGGCGAATAATTGACTACTTCTGCAATAATTCATATATCGCAAGTTAAATGCGATTTTCGCCGTGCTGCCTTCTATTGTATTGCAGTCTTTTTGTTTTCTTCTCGATTTTTTCCCGAAGAAAATGAACAAAATTCGATGTTTTTGATTGGAATAACACATTTTGTGACACTTTGCTGTTGTTGTTCGCCGCAACTGTAACAGATACTCGCCGTAAATTGAGAGCAGTTAGTCTGGTTGCTTGCAAATCGACTCTCATGGGCATATCAAAAAAACACAAGCGAATTTTATGTTTCGAGAAAATGGGTGGTTGGCGTATTTACTACTTGAAAGCAGCTAATGGGGCAGAAGTCACATAAAATATGACAGCTTCTCTATGGAGAGTATGCAGGGTTGATATAATGTGTATGGAATTTATTTGAAATATTTTCCAAATATTTGGTCGAACAAAAGGTTGAAATACCAGTAACAATTTCCAGTTGCTCTAACATAACTTTAATTGGAACTTGTATTATCGCCGCTTTTGGGTAAATATTCGGAGGCCTTCGATGTTGATATTTTATGTTTTGGAGCCAAACGGGGAACAACGCTCTTTTCTTGGACTGACCAAATATTAAGTTTTGATTGCCACAACAGCAGATTAAACTGAACCACAATTATGATTTAATATCTGTAGATCATTCTATATCAAGAAACTTTATTAAACGCTATAGTCGGCACTAAACTCTTACGACTTCTGTATATGAATAAAAATTTAAATAGGTAACCTAGACATATTTGTCAAAGTCGATTTACGAAATTTAATTAAGTACATAATATAAAATAATAATAATAGGTCTTTGTTAAATACTTTTATTTTATCAAACTGCCAATATAGAACTTGGAGGTGATAACATTTTTACGGCTGCAACTATTAGAAAATGTGGAAATTAAAATTATATATTTACGGTGCTATTTGCATATGGTTCGTGGCACTATTCACCATTTTCTCAAATAACATCACAATGAGAGAAATATTATTCAAGGAGAGACAAGCATTACAGTTGTTAAATAAGTCTTTGAAAATCGGTAGTAAAACACCGATACGTAGCGTTATTGTCACGAGGTGGTTGTCAGGTTCCAGCCGTTTAGTCAGATATTTTCATCATGCACGTGGCTACTATCAGCACTTTTCACCGTTATTTAATTGTAAATATGAAATTAAACAACCACAAACAGACATCGTTGAGGCAATAAAGAATTTACATCAATTATTTGATTGTGATTACAATAAAAGTGATAATCTACTAAATGTAGCTAAAAAGCATTTTACATTTTATTCGCTCTACGGACATCAACGAAGGCTGTGTCGCAAATATCCGATATATTGCTGGAATAAAGAATTTCTTTCAGAAATTTGCAAAATATTCCCATATCAAACTATATTTGTGTATGATATTCGCCTAAGGGAAATTGGGCGTATGTTAGGCGATAATAGGTGAGTAATTAAACTGATTTCAAATTATTATCTGTTAATATTGACGTTGGGCTTTTTCGAAATATTGGGGTTTTCCGCTGTTATCTTAAGTCGTAAGGTTGTTACACTTTCTTACTTCGGATACTGTACAATGTTTTTCCGGTGAAAAAACTTTTTGTGACATAGTGGAGAATCTACAAAAAGTCATTTGAATTTTTAATTTCGGTTGTAAGTTATTACATCAAACATTCTATCTGTTTATTGCTTCAAAATATTTGCTTGCGATCAGAATCATGCAACACTGTGTTCAGATGCACCAAAAGCCTGCCATCCTTATGGTGTTCACATAGAAAAGGCAATTGCACTTTTCTATAGCATCCTGCTGGGTTAATAACTTGCATTCACACTTTTATTAACTATACCAACATTTGTAATAGCTTTTATTTTATAACTGAAAACATCTTTAAATTTTTTCTATACAAATAAATCAATGCTGTTAACCATCTGGTAGCACATGCCACTGTTTACATTTGACAGCTGTCTAATTGGGGCCAAAAAGTGTAGAAGAAAATTATAAATGCTGGGATAATGGAGCAGCCGAGTGGAGTTCTGCTTGTTATTGGTTTACTCTTGGACTGTTTGGTCTACTATCGCGGAGTTATGTATAGGACTTCAAATTCGAATAAAATGTTGTAATTATTCGATCATGCGTGTGAAATATATGTGTGGGTGAAATAAAATTTTAAACAAGAATTGCTGCACTTACAAATACAATAAATAAGGAAGATACATATATTTTCATATTATTTGCGTATAAACCTGCAGTGATTTTCTAATAAGAGTATTTGTGTGAAATGTTGTCATACTTAAGTTAGTATGTGTGCATAAAAATTGCTAAGTGTTCAAAAAATTATAAAGGAATTTTATAAATGAAATTCCTATTAGAAGATTTTGCGTATACTTGAGTATCTACATACATACGTATGTATATATAAAAATCTAAATAAGTATATGATTGCAACCGAATTTAAGTTCTAAAGTGATTTTGTGCTCTATAGTGTTTTCTATCAAACACAAGTGTTTAGCTTTTTTGTTTTTGTTTGTGTGCATACAAGTTTCAGCTCACGCTCACTAGCGTGCACTGTTCTTCGAAGTCAATGTCCAAAACGTCAGATTCCACAACCATTTCATTACTAACTGGAGCATCCGTGGATAGCGCCAGCAGGACACGCGCTCAACATCGCATAAGCCTATCGACAAAACGACGAAAAATGTCCCGTCGAGCCAATCTAATAGGCATTTGTGGCGTTTGCAGTCTCTGCTTATTGTTGCTGATAGCGACAACCCAACATCGACCTGCCTCTATGACCATATCTAACGGCATGTCCGTTGGCGTTGGTGACATATCAGGCGTACAGACCGGTTATGTTGATCGGCATCATGTGGGTACTGCGAGCGTGGCATATAATATTACGGCTACAATAGCGGATGTCCTGGCGGCGCAACGCACGAAGATTCTCACTGAAATGGAAAACTTTGAGTATCCGCAAGGACGTTTCGGTGTGGATGCTGAGAAGTTATCCGATATGACACCCGCTACTAATGGTACACCGGTACGGAGTGTCATCATAACAACTTGGCGTTCGGGCTCAACATTCTTGGGTGACATCCTTAATGCCATGCCTGGCAATTTTTATCACTATGAACCACTATTATCGTTTGGTATTAATCAAGTACGTGACGCTGCCGAGGGCGCTGAAGCATTACATATGCTACGACATTTGCTGCATTGCAACTACACGAATATGCAAGAGTACTTAGAATATGGCAAACAACATTCATATTTATTCGAGCATAACGAGCGTCTGTGGAGTGTATGCAAAGAATTTCCACATTTTTGTTGGCAACCAAAATTCCTATCACCCATATGTAAACTATTTCCCATGCAGAGCATGAAAGTGGTGCGGCTCCGTTTGGCGTTGGCGAAGTCATTACTTGAGGACAATAGGTAAGTGCTTACAACAGTCGCTCAAACCTTCAAATAAATAAAGATTTTTATCAAGTTTTTTTTTACTAATATTTTTGTTTGAAAAGTGATTTGAAAAGTGATACAGTGTAACTGGTTGCGTACTATGATTTTCATATTTTATTTTCAATTAAGATTTACTACAAACCATATTTTAAAAATTTGAAAGGACAAATCGTTGACAAATAAAAATTAAGGGAAAAATGAAAAAGAAAGTGCAAATAAATCAATAAAATAACTTGAAAAGTCCCCACTCGTATACATATACATACATATATACTTACAACAATATTCGTCAAATAATACCAAAAGCATCAGCAATTTTCTGCCAATAAAATGATAAAAAGGGCAATAATACAACAAAAAAAAAAGGTTTGTGCTGCCCGATGCTATAAGGTAATGAAACGTAACAGTAAAAAAGTGGAGCAAATAATGCGAGACATTGAGACACCAAATTAATAGTTGGTTGTTTGTTTGGTGTTAGCTGGACAAATGCAAACATACAAATATACAACCACACAAATCTACATGACCTGAGCCACCGGCTTTCAGCAGCAGCCAAGCAGTCTATTATTAACGAAAATATGACTATACCAAGAAAGTAGATTGGCACATACATACATACAACCATATATTTGTGTAGACGCGTTATTTCTGGGCTTTTTCTGGTGATTTTAGTTGTCTGTCGAATTGTTTGTATGCAAGTGGTGACTAGCCAACAAGAAAATCTACATATATACATACGTATGGATGCATATATGTAACTGTTTACTGTGTATATTGTCACTTGAACATTCCACTCCAGACTTTGGTATTTCTTAATAATTGTAGTAACGGCACTAACAGTAATATCTAACCACACCAGAGTAGATTCTTAAATTACAAACGCGGTTTGCCATGGTTGGTTGATTGTTTGGATCGCTGGTTAGCCTGGTTGGCTGACTAACATATGTATGTACATACTTATTACTTTGTTTATTTTTTTCTCCCTTCATACCGGTTGAGATATGTATATACTTATGCATTTATACATACATATGTATGTAAAAATAAATCAGCATACCTTACTTTTAACTATGCTTAGTGACCCGATTTGCTTTGCGCGGTGGAAGAAAAGCAGAAAAAACGAGAAAAATCATGCTTAGTACGTGATAAGGTGTGAAATACATATATACATAGTATGGATTATTGTGAAAATATGACAAGAAAAGAGTCAGAAGGGGAAAAAATATTTTCACATACCACTTAACGGTAGTTTAACTATGAAAATTAGCTTCAATAACAGTATTTTATTATTGCTTGGAAAGCAATACAATTATTTAAAATGACGTTAGCAGGCATATACATATATGTATGTATGCATGTACATATGTTTTTATACTTAATTGATAAAATCAAAGTTAAGACCCATTAAACAATTAATCGAAATAATTAATTATATTAATGTGTGTGTGCTGCTCAAATAATCGTTCAATTTTTAGTTAATCAAAATAAGCAATTTTCGATTTATTTTAATGCAATTTATCAAAACATAAATTGATTTGATTGATTTTACAGCTCATTTTCCATACATTTCATACGAACAATACGAACGGGTCTTTTTAAACTATTTTTGTTATTGTTATAACCCTGAAAACCCTTGTTATTGCCGTTGATGTCGCTACTTTTGTTGTTAATATTGTTATTATTATTATTATTATTATTATTATTATTATTATTATTATTATTATTATTATTATTATTATTATTATTATTATTATTATTATTATTATTATTATTATTATTATTATTATTATTATTATTATTATTATTGTTGTTGTTGTTGTTATTGTTACTGTTATTTTATTTTTAGTTGTCATTGGTGGGATTGGTGTTGTTATAACCCCCAAAAATATTCCTCAAATTGATTCCCGAAAGGTTGCGAAAGGAACAATTTCGTGGTTGTATAAAAATCCAGATCGCTGTCGTACGATATTATTAGATTTTTTCGGCCATGTGAAGGAAAATCCCGAATTTGTTTTTGACATTTGTTGACATTCCTTTCGCTCTCAAGCTTGAAAAACCGTTAAAAATTCTTGTTTTCCACGAGCCATTGTGTAGGAGACGTTAAAAATTAATTAAATTAAATATGTTACGTTGCTGCGTTACCAATAATTAATATTTATTTTTTTTTTTCGCAATATCTGTCCCTGCTAAAGCTAGTGCTTGCAACACTTAATCACTTTTGAAAAAATGTTTTCCTCTTCAAAAATTATTTGCCTCTATAACTCAATTCTCTCGGTTTGGTGTTCATTTTGAATTTTGCCGCCTCCGAAAGGACGATGAATTTTTATGAGTAGCGTTTTTTTCATGCCAGAAATACACTTGGAGAGCTTGACAACCCCTGCTGAGGAGCGACCACTACCAGAAGAATTAATTTTCTATCATTTTGTATGTTTTTCGGATCAAGACTCAAAACCTGGCCTCCGTATTGAAATACGCAATGCGACTCGGCTATTGCGGCCGCCGTTTATTCAAAGCCAAAAGCTGTGGCCAAATCCTCTACATTTTTTTTGGATGATTTAATTATTTCGAGCGCCGATGTACATATGTATGTACGTACGTCTGTGGTTTTGTCTAAAACGGTCCTTTTTAGTATCGACAAATGTAGATATGAGTACAAATGTGGATGCCTTTGTGTTCCACAAAGCGCATTTAGAATGAGAATTGAAAAAAATCAATAGCACTGTCAAATCTATATAGTTATGTAATAAGTTACTTATGGTTTTGTGCGCAATACTTAATTTACTTTTGTTTTTCCTTTAATTCATTTTTCAAAGCACGTTCTTCATTTCCTGTAGGCGGTTCTTCTAAGCCAGTCTTAAATTAAAATTAAGAATAAATATTTTTAATAACAATGGTACGTGTAGTTATACACACATATACATATAAAATGAAAAATATAGGAGCACGAAATAAATATATGTACATACATATATATATATATAAGTGAATTTAATATAAATATGTCGTCATTATAAACGTTTTTTTCTCAACCGGATCTGTTGTTCCTGTATGAAATAAGCAAATTGCTTATGCTTACCGGAAGTTAAATTCTACATTTAGAAAATATTCTTTCTCCTCAAATTACTATGCTTTTGCATAAAAAGTCATAAATCACAAATTCGCAAAATTCACAAATTCAAAAAGGTACTCATTTATGCAGGTAGGCAGATAGGTAGATACACGGTGTGTCCCAAAAATAATCGAACTTTTTGGTTATATAATAAAATACACATTATATTATCTTTGAAAGTTATTATTTATTCAAAATAGGTTCCATTTGACTCAACACAACGTTTGGAACGATCAACCAGCGCAGGCATAGATATTTTTTATGTCATTTATAGAAATGTTCTTCAGTACCTCGGTTACGGCTGCTTGAATGGCTGGGTTGTCATCATAAAATGCTCCCTTCATCTTGGTTTTCAGTTTTGGAAATAGAAACAAGTCACATGGTGATAGATCAGGCGAATACGGCGGATGGTCGATGAGAGAAATCCCTGTTTTCATTAAAAATTCGAGCGATTTTTGGGTCGTCATTTAATTCATGTGGAACAAATCGCGCACAGACCTTTATTCTCCCCAAATCTTCAGTTAAAATTCTCCAAATAGTGTTTTTACTCGTATTCAATTCCTCAGTCAACATTCTCGTAGTAAAATTTGCATCGATACCAATGATTTCACGGACTTTTTCCACCATTTCAGCACGATTACTAGTTTCTGAACGTCCTGCTCTAGGATCGTCATTTAAATCCTCACGGCCATTTTTAAATCGTGTAAAGCACGTATAAACTTGCGTACGACTCATACAATCATCACAATAAACTTTTTTCATTAATTTTTTTTTCAAATTTTACACAAATATATATATATTTTATATTTGCTTTTTGTTCCATTTTACTTTTGAACCATTAGCACACTTTTGGTTTTATTGAAATGGCTGTCACTTTTACATATGTCATCCGAGTTACATGAAGTTAGGTGCGTTTGAAAGAGGATAAATGTATCTTTTTAATGTTGCAAATTTTCAATAGATGGCGCTGTATGTTGTATGATTTAAATATAAAGTTCGGTTATTTTTGGGACACACCGTCCGCGGCGCAGATTCACTAGTATGCAATAAAAAATATTTTCAACACTTTTGCAACACACCTCGTGCTTGTCGTGCGAATAAGTTGCATGGGAAAACCTAAAAATATAGAGTCACTATATGATAATTAATTTAAATTGTTAGAAGAAAAAACTTTAAAGCTTGCATAATCTTTACTTTTATTTTTAGATTTATTTATTTATTTTTTTTTCAAATGCCAATTAACATTGGCATTTATAGTTCCGCTTAATTTTCATGTTTAGAAGTTATTATTTTTTTCATTTTTATTTTTATTTATTTAATTTTTTCATCAAAAATCTTAGGTACATACATATATCTGTATATAAGTATACAAATATATTTAAATAATAGTTAATTAACATATTGCGAATTTCGCTGCAATTCATACATACATACATGTGAATATTGTAGTATTTAGTGAGTTTATTGAATGTTATTGAAATGGTTTTTGGAGAAAAGAAATAAAAATATGTTTCCTTTTTTCCCGATAAATTGTGTAGAGGAAGAGATAAAATGCACTCTTCTGCCCTTGAAGAGACTGAAAAACCTCAAATCACATACATTTCAATGAGGTCCAGTTAAGGGGCGAAGGTGGTCTAGAATTTTGAAAAAATTTCGAAATTAAATCACACGAAAAATTGTATATTTGTACGATAAAACCTATATTATCAGGTTTTCCATTTTCAGATAGGTGGCTGTACCGGCTGAGGCTGGTTGAAATACATAGATGATAATGCCTTTAAAGTGAGTGTGGACAGTACCTAACGAATTGTCAGAAAGAACGTGTCGGGAATGGCTGTACCGGCTGAGGCTGGTTGAAATACATAGATGATAATGCCTTTAAAGTGAGTGTGGAAAGTGCCTAACGAATTGTCATCACCCTTTCAGTGACAGTTGTTCTTGTTTTCGTATTATTCACGCTCGAAAATGTCCGTTTATGTGCT